AGAATCATTTTCCATTTGTGGAAGTGCTGCAGAGTTTACTCACGGGCAGGGCCCTCGGTTTGGCTTTTGGGGCCGCTTCAGTGAAGAAGAGGATGCCGCCAAGTGGTGCACAGGCCGGCTGGGCTGCCGCGGGAGGGAGGTGACACCCGAGCAAAATGTCATCCCGCAGACGGGACAGGCTGCCTGGGACGTGATCCATCCCAAAGGTCTGCTTTGTCCTAGAATCCCGGTGTGGGAATGAAAAACGCATTATTTAACATCGAAGACTCTTCGCAAGCGTCTGCAGCGTCAGCCCTCGATAATGTGCAACCGTCTGGTCATCTCCAAGATCCACGTTTGACCGTCTGTGTCTCAGTTGCTTTTCTCCCCGGTGCTGACCTGTCTCTCAAAAAACACGATGAATGTGCGTGCTGTTCCAGGCTAGACACACTTCTCCTACAGGCTTTGCAGTATTTTAGTGCATATTTCTTTTGCCTTATTTAGTTTTAGAAGAAACATTTTGTTTTGTCTGCACTTCCAAGTGCCAGAAGCATAAAAATTTTTAAAACATGTTGCAAGAAGATTTTTTTTAAAAAAGGGACATTTTAAATTGTTCTTATTCCCTTTTTTCAGTCTGAATTTATTAATTCCTGCTTTTAGTGACAAAAAGTGGGGTACGACTTGTTGAAGAGACAGCATATTTTTTCCCTTCCATGTACAGCTCCATTAATTCCTATCAGAGCCGCAGCTTAGAATGGTAAAAAGCCTCAGTATTTCTGCAGATTGCATCATTTTCAGTGTTTCATAACTCGATGGCAAATGTAATTTGAAACAGATAACAATAGTGCTGTCTGTTTCAGCATAACCATGATTTCCTTGTCATTAAGAGCTCTGTTAGCGGCTGGAGGAGGAGGAGTTTTATCTGGATGAGTTAAAGATCATATGGTGCAGCTGAGCACTTTTTTTTTCTTTTTTTCTTTTTTTTTTTTTCCCCTTCCCTTGAAATCTGCAGCACTGGGCTTTGGTTTGGATACAAAACGATTGGTCGGTTTCAAACCCTGGCTGCACAAAACCGCACAGCGTTTCCAGATGTTTTCAATAAGGAGCCCAGAACTGTCGCATCAGCAGCCAACGGCCGGGGCTGCCGGACGGGGCCCTGCTCCATTTTGAGTAACTCTCATGAAAGGAGAACAGGGAGGGGAGAGAAAGAAAGAATTATTTACTCTATTTTATTTTTCTTTTTAATCTTTATCCTCCGATTGTCTGGTGCATTGTGTCTGTGACCACGTCAATGTTATATGTTATGTAAACATACATATAGCCCCAGGGGGACCGCCTTAAATAGAGGCACAGAAGGGCCCGGAGAGCTTTGTCCTGCCCCGCGCACGTCCCGCGTCTCCTCCGCGTGCGCCGTGCGGGTGCGCAGGGAAGAATATCCGGAGGACAAGATTTCCAGGCTGGAAAGAGGCAGTCAAAGCCCCTCCTAACGTGGGAGGAGGGCAGTGGTCTCCCAAGTGGGAGTGTGCCTGGCACGGTGTCCCCTGTTTGTTTATGTTGGGGTGTTTTTTTGTTCTTTTTTTTTTCTTTTCCCTCCCCCAACAGTCAAGTCTGCAAATAAAAAGGAGATGGACTTAGGGTGTCTGCAGTCGTCACTGGCCTCCTGATCTTGGCTGTGAGTCAGGGACACAACCGCAGCAAAACTCCCGGAGCAAAATAGGGATGTAGAAGCTTTAATTGAAAAGAAAAAGAGAGGAGCTGGGAGGGCTTTTTTTTTTTTTAATGGTGGTTTATTTGGTTGCTGTTGTTGATGGTTCCCCTCTGTGGTTGAAGGTGTCGAGGGGCTCACGGGGATCCGCTGGCAGTGGCTCAATCTTTGCCTGGCCGCAGCGGCCGTTGTGGATGAGCCCCGGTCACCCGGGCGGGCACCGAGACCCGCCTGGTTCCGCTCGGCAGCCGGGCACATGCGGCCGTGGGGCCCCCACGCGAGCTCCTCGGGAAGGTGCCGGGCTCCATCGCACGAGCGGCGCCGGCGCTGCCCGCGGGCCTGTCCCGCGAGGGCAGGTGGCACACACCGAGCGCGGGGCCTTCACAGAGCTTGTGCCCTGTCGTTTGGATGCATCGTGGCCTGTGGAGGAGTAGAGGCCTCCTATTGGCAGCCCTCATTGGATTGCTTTGCAAAAAAGCTTAAAAAATAAATAAATCTGCTGTATCAGGTAAAACAAAGTAACGGGCTTTGCATAATCTAAAATTAGTGTGGCACTGGAGCACCGGGACTGCTGCGAACTCCTTTACCTGAACTAAATGCACAAACGTTGTTTATAGGTTCCTGTCTTGTAAATTTAGGTTTGAGGAAATCCCAGCCTTATATGGTAGTGTCTGCAGGCTGGAATGCGGTCCCAGCCACTGCTGGGTTCTCATTTCCACGCGCGCATGATCGCTGGGATTCATTACTGGTGGGGAGAACTGGTGGCTCCAGAAAGTCCCCCAAGTGCTGCCACATTTCACGTGTCTTCTAATACTGAAAGCAGAAGCTCTGTTGGTTATTGAGGAGAAGAGGAGTCATTGGCCGGAATCTGGAGCCAAGGGTTGTTACTGCGGGAGAGGCTCATGAAGCAGAACCTTGGTGCAGCTGCTTGGGTGGTGGAGATGGAGCTTTGGGTTGGCAGGGAGGGACTGGGACCTAGCGAAGCAGGGTAAGAAACCTCACAGGGAAGAGCATCCCTGTGTCATCACCCGTGGCGAGCGGAAACGCTCGTAGCTCACGGCCTCCTCGAGCTGTGGTGACTTGTTCAGTGGTGATGCCCCAAGGGGGAGCCCCAAGGGTGGCTGGTTTCCAGGCCCTTTGCAGCCTTAGGAAAATATGACCTTTTCGGCTTGCTTAGGGAGGCTGCTAAACCTGAAGAGCAACTTGATGACTTTTTGTACAGATTGAGGGTACTCTATGCAGTATAATCCCAAATAATAGTTTGCATTAGTATAAAATCCTTTTCTTTGTTTTTCTCTTACTCAGTGTGCACATGTGGGAGTCAGTTCGTGTGCCACTAACAGCCAGAAAAGTGGGTAGCATTGGATAGAGAGGAGCTGAAATGCCCCCTCGCAGCAGGCAGGATTTCAAGTGTCGGGCTTTCTTGGGAAGAAGCCGCTCGCATTCAGATGCAGAAGACTCACTTTTTATCTGTTTCGGAAGGATGCAGGATTGAGTCATCTGCCAGAACTGGGGCTGGCGCTTACAAAGCGCCTTATACAACGAGGGGGACTTAGGCCACTGAGCCGTCCCCTAAGGGGCTCTGTGAAAAGACTTAGAAATCCTTAACTAAACTCCATTAACAGAGCGAATCCCGACAGCGGGAGATGTGCCAGGTCACCGGGCGCCGCTTACAAGCGGCTTTTTCGCCCGACACTTGAATGTTGATTTGTTGCTGCCGTTTCCGCCAGCCGTAGCCCCTGCTTTGCAACACAGGTTCAACCATTTCCTGCCTTTCCATCTTTCTGTCCAGCAAAGCAGCAAGTTGTGCACAAATCCCGCATTTGAATCCAGCCACAAAAAAAAACCTCCCTTTCCCCTTTTCCTCTTTCTTTCTTCTTCTTTCTTTACCGCCCCCGTTCCCTTTTGAATCCATGAATGAGAGAACGTCTCAGGCCAGGGAAGTATGGAAAGATTTTCTCCCAGGAGAGGTCAGGGTGGGGTGGAAAGCGCAGGGGGCTGCGAGGGGGCAGCTGCAAACAGGAAGCCATGTGGCAGGGCGCATGGGGGCCCAGCTGATGTGAATGAGCTATTGAGAGCCGAGCAGCAAAAAGGCTCTGAAACTTTGCTTTTGAGAGACAAAACCGAATGAAAAGCTTCCAGCTTAAAGTAAATGCGAGCGCCGTGGGTTTTTTTTTTTTTTTTTTTCTTCCCAGAGCAACTTACCGGGGTCTTTTTGCTCATCCTTCTGTGTTTTAAACAAACAAACAAAAAAAGAAAATGTTGATTTCCTTTCCCCTCCGCCCCCCCTCCTCTCCACACTGATTAAATCATAAGTTTCCGTTCCTGTCTGGGGGAAGCTGCAAGACGTCAGTTCTCTGTGTCTTTCATTCACCTGGCCTGGGGGAGAGGGAAGAACAGTCCTTTTTTCCCTCTCTGGAAATACCTTCGCTTCTCACCTCTTCGGACTGTGCAAACACCCGGAGCGGCTGAAGCCTGAGGTGCAAGAAGCTGGAGAAGGAAGATTTCTGCTCCCCACTGGCTCCCCCCTCTTTTTTTTTTTTTTCCTCTCTCTGAAAAGATGAATCATGTTCCCACAACTGCAAAGCTCCAAGGACGCTGCTGCAGTACTAAAAAGGCAAGTAGTGACGTCCCAGCCCAAATCAGGAGGGAGTGGCTTTATTTCATTATTTTCTTTCCTTTTGCCCTGTGCTGTCATTAGAAATTTCAACTTAATGCAAAACCAAGCCCTCCTGTCTGGCGAAGAGCGGACTGATTCTGACAGGAGCAAAGTACCTTTTTTGTGCTTTGTTATTGTTTCTATCACATCCAGGCGCACTGAAAGAAAAACACCCATTGGTGACTGCAGTATTTACTCTGGATACGGTGATCGGCTTTTTATTATTTTATTTCCCTTGCATTAGACGCACCGTGGCTGAGCCTACCTTTTGTTTTCCCCTTTTGGAGTGTTCCAGCTGCACACATCTGGCTTTTGTTCTTCTTTCAAGAATTTCATTCTGGTTCTTTTTGGATATCAAGATTGTCTGGAAAACTTTTTTTGTGTTTTGTTCTTATTAATACAGCAGGAAGGCTGATACCATTCTTAGCAGTTGCAAAAAAAAAATCATATATATAAGCTCTCTCAAAATATCTTTTGTTTGCTGTAAATTCCTGCGTCGCCTGCATAAGCGAGTCTCTGTTCCAAGAAGACTTTATCAACCCGTCGCAGCTCTGGGATTTTCTTTTTCCTGTTGAGAGAATTGGACAGGCTAATGTGATTCAGAGCGCGCTGAGACACAGGGACTTCTGTGAGCGATCTGGAGCATCTGCTTTGACGAGCTGATCCTGGAGTTCATGGTGGGCTCCGCTCCTCACGTCCTGCCTCTGCTTGCGTTTCCCTGGACAAGATGTACGAGCGCCACAGAAGGCGATACAGCCTGTGTGACATTTCCAAGGTGGACAGGACTGTAGATGTTGTGTTGTTAAAGGTACGTGTGACGTTTCCCAGGTGGACAGGGCTGTAGGTGTTGTGTTGTTAAAGGTATGGCGTTGCTTGCTTACACTGCTGTATGTGCTGCTTCCTCATCTTGGACTTGTCCATCTAGTCCATACCTGCAGCTGGGCTCTGCGGAGTTGGGGAGCAGGTGGAGGAGATCTCCCCTCTCAGCATGTAGAGGTTTTGGGCTGTTAACTTTTGGTATGACAAGGTTTGATATTGTCCCTGCAACCAAATTCCCTATTGTAGCATGTAATCGGATATTCCTTCTGGAAGCTCTCTCTGGTTGTCTTGCCTGTCCCCTCATCCTCTTCCACTAAGCAGTCCCACCCGTTTTTGCAAACTTCACAAACCGCAGGTGCTTTTTTGTGTGTGCAGGTAGCCATTTGGCTGAGGATTTGCATTTGTGCTGGTCAGTGTCTGCATTGGACTCTGTGTGTGTGTGTGTGTGTGCGCCCTGAAAGATGAATTCTGCCCCCAAAAAGCATGATGGATCCTCCTGTCAGTTCTGTTTGCCTCTGTGTTTAGTGGTGCTTGGAGGGTGTTGCTGTTTATCTTACAGTGTGGATGTGAGTTTTGTCTTAAGGTTGGGTCGAGCGCGAGCCAGAAGTGGCTCTTGGCTGAACGTCCGAGTGTTCCCTCCTCTCATCTAAAATTAGCAAGTGCTCCACCAAATGGCAAGGTGGCAGTCTGGGAATGTTCTGTCACGGTAACGGCTTTCTGGAGCTCCAGCAGTTTCCTGGCGAAGTGCATGGAATCGGAAAGCAGCCAAAGTGGCTGCAGAGCAGCCCGGCTGAGATAGTCCAGCTCGGGAGAGAATTTCCTTTCTCCCTCTTCTGCTGCCTTCCTCTCTTGGCTGGGGCGGTGGGTTGCTGTGGGATAATGTGGCTTCCTTATTTTATGGTTTTTGCTTCATACTCTTCATTTTTAAGTAGAGATGAAAAAGGAATAAGGTTTTCTGTAATGCATATAAACATTTCATTTTCAAATGAGACTTGGTCTATTTATATACACTAAAATTGACCTAGTACTTGTTACCTGCATTGTATAGGAATGTAGTTTCATTTTAGTCAGGCTGTCCTTCGTTTTCTGGGACACAAAACGTCAACTTGTTTTCTGCATCAGCTGGATTTTGTTGACATTTTCCAACAGTCACATTAAAGATGCTGTTTGTAGTACACTGGGAGCCCACAAGACTCAATCTCCAGACACCCCTGGAAGTGATTAAAAATTTAGCTGTATCATACACATGATGATTATTTTGTGAAACGTCCGCTTAATTATACTTGGGAAAAAGAGCTGGTCCCCTTGGCAACTTTAGTTGCTTATATAAAAAACACAATCTTCTTCTTTATCTTTATAGATCATCTGGATGCCTGGGTTGAAATGTAATTCACTATAATTATCTGACTTCAGTATTTCTGAAGTCATCAGTTCCGTAAATTATTTTTTGTTCAGCAAAGCTTAGACTTCAGGACAAAATATGGCCCTTGTTACTTCCCACTAGTATTTTCCTAATTGAGTTTCAAAACTGTGGCTTGCTCTGTCTGTTCCTGCATATGACTCAGTGTCCGTATATGTGCGCACACATTGCTTCGCAGAAAATAGGCCGTAAATAGTGCAAATATTTTAAACAGAGGGCTGCTAATGATAGCTATTGTTATAATCTTGATTTTCATCTTCAGTTGCAGGCATTCTTCATGTTTTATTCTGCTTTCTATAACCTACCCACTTGCTTAAATTCAATTTTGATGATCTGGGGATGCGAGCCAGCAACAGGCCGCGTCAGTGGCCCTCACGTCTTTTGACGTTAATGGGAGTTGGTTCAGACCCTTAAGCAGGGAGCTGCAGGGATGACTCCTCCTCTTAAGAATTAAAACACGTATGTAAAGCAGCACTTCATCTAGATCACTGTTTTGGTAAAAGAATTTCAAAAGTGTCAAGTACTGAAAAGCAAATAAATATCCTTACAAAAAACCAACATCAAATAGGACCCATTTGGGCTGTTAGATCTGAATTCAAGTGTAATGAGATGCCTGCTATGCACACAACAGCTTTTGGTTTGCCCTATTGATTGATTCTTACAAGACTTCTTTTATTTGAGTGGTGGGTGAATATGTTCTTTGCCTTATTTTAAGGTGGGGAACTCCATAAGCTTGACAGGAAAGAAAAACAGCTAGTGGAGAAGGGAATTGGAACAAGCTGGGAACAAAGAAGATCTTGTGCCATTCAGTCACTGTATGTTTGTGGATGGTATTTTATTTGCATTCGCTGCATCCGTTCTTAGAAAACTCGCAAAAGGATTTTGGTTCCTACCAACTGTTTTGCAGGGTACATCTCCTGAAGGATCAGGGCAAAAAAAATCCATGTTTACGTTGTGCCTGAAGCAATCACTTGTAAAGTTACCAAAAAAGCATCAGGAACTCTTGGAGTTCGCAGATGTTTCTTCCTCCTTCCCGTGTAGGAAAGCATTGGTCAAGGAGCAGCAGGTAAATCAGTGTTTTAGCCTTTGCGCTGGAGGTCGGACTTCGTCTTTGCTGTGGCTCTCTTTGCTCCTGCTGCGCTGCCAACGTGCGGAATTTGGGTGCTGACTGACCATAGCGATTTGCCACTCTATGGGAAACCTGGCGTGAAATAGGAATGACCTGACAATTTGGCATGGTCCTTCCTGCCAGGGCTCTGCCATAGCAGATATCTGGCTTCCAGTTAAAAATTAGAGCATCGTTGAAGCTAATAGCAGCCCAGTGATATCAAAATAATTAAGAAATCAAACTGGAAATCCAAGGAGTGGGATTATCAGTGCTTGGTGTGGCCACATTATTTTGCTTCCCTTTAGAGGCTACTCTGATACCTCTACCACAGGAGTAGTTCCTCTGGAGTGGATCCTGCCCCCATGATTCAACCAGGAGTTTGCAGTCTCCTAAATGAAAAGCACTATTGCTAAACTGTAGCTATTGCTGTGTTGAGAAGGTCCAGAACTGTCCTTGGATCACTTGTCTTCTTGCATCACACAGGTGCTAGGCATAAATCAGAGTGAAACTCGGGTTTCTTCCATTGTATTTTATCGCTAACACGTTTTTAATTTTTTCCATGCACTTAATGTTTGTGATTATTTGGTGCATAAGCAAGTTCATTCCCCCTGCCCGCAAACCCTGAAGTGCTGTCATCAGCTGAAGGCTGTGTAGCAGCTCTCTGAATTTTGTGGCCCTGAAATGACACTGTCCTTTAATGCTGAAAACAGCATCAACACACGATGGTCTGTTTGGAAGTTTTTGAGTTTGTCTGAATGTAGATTTTGTACCCGGAAAGATAATATGAATGAGAGATGTGTTTAGCATCTGTAGGCAAGGCCAGTTCGGACTGACTTGAGTAGTTGGGGTCCTGATAAGGTGTCGCCAGGGTCATTGCCTGTAAGGTAAAAGGCTGGAGGTAGCATATGCCTAGAGTGGGAGATAAGTCTCTATGGAAACAGTTGCAAAATTGCAAGTGTTGTTACTTTGTCCTGCATAATTCCATTTATGTGAATAAATTACTTAAATGAAAATAGTGTTCTGTGTGAAATCCTTTGGAACGGTGAAAGAAGAGTTAGGATTTGCATTAAAATTGAAAAACAAAGTTATGACTACAGTCATGGTAAAAAGTCTTTTTTTTTTCCATGCTATTTTGGTTCTTTCATGAATATTTCTAATCTTTCTTAGTGTTAATTAGTGTGGAGTGCACTGTACAAGTGCTTAATGATACACCAAGCAAGCTAAAATTACTATGCTAAATATTTTCCTTGCTGCAGTAGTACCTTTTTTTAGCTGCAAGGTAGAATTTAGTTTAAAGCTGGGGAAAAAAATGAAGAAAGAGAGGGAGAGAAATGGAAACTTGTAGATTTAGGGCAAAGTTAAAACAATACGGAAGGCAAATGAATCTCCAGAGTTTTGCTGGGAAATGAAAGTTACAATTATCTGGTTCCGTGTCCTTCAAAGATGCTTCATTTATACTGCTACCACTGAGGTTGACAACTGCAAAGTTTTAAATAATGGACTTTTTTTCTGAGGGGTGTTTTCTTTATTGTGAAATGGAAGGGGAAGTGTGATCAGAATAGATGAAATAAAACCAGTGTCAGGGGGAAAGAGGCCTTTTCCATGGTTATTTCTTCATTTTTGAGTTATTCCAGGGCAACTCTGCAGAGGCTGATGCTGATCACGAGCTTTGGGAAGTGGGTGCTGGGGCTGCCCCCGTGGGTACCTCCTTCCACACGACAGGAAACGCAGCAGCCCCTTTTACCCTGCAGATTGTTTAGTTTCTTCCTTTTTTGCAAAGAGGGGAAATTATATTAAGTTTCCCCTCAAGTTTCAAATTAAATGCCTGCATGAAAACATTTCTGGAGGTCGGAAAATACAAATGTGCATGCGCAAGAAGCAAAATCCAGTCAGTGTCTTAAAGCTCTGTCTGGTCGTTTAGTCTGCTGGTGCTTCACAGGAACATGCAGAATCCTCGGGGACTCGCATTGTAGCATCTGGGGATGCGCTTCCATGATTCACTCGGCGTCTTAGCTGCAGATAAACACATGCAGGCTTCTGCATGGAAAAACGGCCCGTTCTCTCTCCTGGCAGCTTTCCAAAAGCTGCGTGTGGAAGCTCTGTTCCCAGGGACTGCTTCACGTCCCTTCTTGCCATCCCAATGCCGCTTCATCCTCCCTGCGCCAGCCACAAATATTCAGGATGCCCAGAAGCCATGGGCTGTAATCAATGCGGGCAGAGAGGAAATTTGGGGTTTTTTAATGTCCTCCGTGGCCCTCAGCCCATCGTCCTGCTGGCAGACTTGGTGAAATGGGCAAAAGGGAGATAGTTTTGTTACGGATGATGCCTGTGGGTCTGTAAAATCCCATTTCTGCAAAAGTCCATTTCTGATGGCTTCCCTTGTGCATTTGCCACCCCCAGGAGCTCAGGTACTTGTGTCTCCTGCACAGCCTTTGCAGGCTGCAGCTTCTTCCCTGGCCCGGAGCAACTATAAGCAGGAGGATGAGGCTAGAGGAGAGCTGGATTTTGTGTTTTCGCTGTGTTTTAAGTATATGTGGACCACCCAGTTTCCTGAGAGCGTGCTGTAAACCTCCCTCAAATCCTGTCTGGGCTCTTTGGCATGGGGAATGCTTGTATATAGTAGTGGTTTCCTTTGTTTGCCTTTTGGTAATAATAATAATTATTCCTCAATTAGGGCTACTTAAGGTACTTTTCTTCTTACTACTTTGTTTTGTATGTAGTCAGGTATATGTGCAGCACCAGGGCATTAAACTGCAATGTTGCTCTTTCATTGCTTTTTGTTGTAGAAAAAAAGCAGACATTTTCAGTACTTGGCAAAGTCACAGGGCAGCAGATAGAACTGGCTGGGTAATGGGAAAAATATTCGAATCTTTTTTGAAAAAATGCCAATGTCTATAATGCATTTTCAGTAAATGACTCAACTAGTTCTATTAAAGGCAAAAAAATATAATGTAAATTCAGCCTAGTTTAATTTATTCTATCACCAATCACTTCATAGGCTCTAGACACTCTCTTAAGTCTTATTTTTGCCTTCTCTCTGCTGATTGCTGCTTTCCTGTACAGAACGCCTGGTTATTGTTCTCCAGTACTGATTATCAATATAAACTGGGGAAATTCCTATAAGTTGGGTGGAACCATAGTGGTTAAGGTAAGGAAAGTCAGACTCAGCTTAGGAGAAAGCAAGGTGCAAACCAGTAAAGAGTCAGAATTTGATTTCATATCTGAAACAGGTGGTTCCTTCATTTGTATGAGCTTAAGCAATTTGACATTTATACCACTATATGGGTTCACACCGAACCTTTAAATTTGCCTTCAAGAAAATGTTAGATATTTGCTTCAATATAGGTTCTACTTTGGCTTGGAAGAATATTGACGTGATATTTATTGATCCTGCCTCTAGTGCCCTTTTCAGACTGAAAAGTTTGTATAAATCCTGTAGTGAAGTTTAATTGCTAGAGACCAGATCCCTCCTGGGCATTGCTAACGCGGCAGCTCTTCCATCGAGCAAATCTGAAATGTAAGCTACAACGTCCCTGCAGCAGTTAAGAGCGAGCGCCTTTATTTCACTTTTTAATATCTGCAAACTCCTTCCTCGACCTCCAGCCTGTTCTGGGCCGCCTCTCCGTCCTTCCCAGCCTCCCGTAACGCCGGCCCGTTATGGGCTGGTGAAGGCGCTAGGCCGAAGCGCGTCCCGGTGCGCGTGTGCGGTAGGGTGGTGACGTGGGCGTGTGTGAGTGTGTGGGAAGGGGAGCAGGGAAGACCAGGATCTTGGATCTGTGTGTGCCTATCAGTCTAATAGGGCGTTAGGTGGGTGTCTGTACAAGGACCTGAAGAACCGCGGGACAGTTAATGGCAAGTGGCCCTCGGTGCCCGTGTGCCCAAGGAGCCTGGAAGTGGGGAAGGTGTCGTGGGTGTCACTCAAGGCCTCCTGCCACTGGGGCAGGAGGATTTCAGCCCTCCCGGGAGTCTCTGTCTTGTATTTCTCCATCGCAGACTCCGTTTGCTGCTTCCCTGTCTCCCTCAGCAAGCGCTGCTGGCCTAGGAAGGCCACGGCATCCTCACTGCTCTCTCAAGGCCTCTTGATAGCCTTATAGTTGTGCTTGGAGCCGCAGGAAAGGACTAGCCGACCTGTCAAGGGCCCTTCCAGCCCCACTTTGTCATCACGGGAGTATGGAGGAGGACACAACCTAACCAAGAAAAATCGTGCTGTAGAAAGGAGGTGACAGATCTTGGAGAACAGTGTTGATTTGAGAGGTGGTGAGGAGGAGGAGGTCACTGAGGCACTGGCAAGGGCCACCTCGCTAGACAGCTAAGAGGATGAGCCAGGCATAAGGCACTCCATAGAGTGGTGGTAAATAATGAGGTCCAGGGTCTCGGCAGCGCAGGGGAGATGGATGTGGGTCATTAATCATTACTCAGAGCAGGCACTCGGGTCAAGCATAGGACCCAAGGGTTCCTTCAAGGAAAAAGGAGGAGGCAACCACATTTTGTGTCATGGGAGAGCAAAGGAGAACGTGGAGAGGATGATAATCTGACAGGGATCAGAGGAAATGGAACTGTCTCACTGGGAAATTCAAAAATTAGTTAAGTGGCAAAAGTACAGGGTGGGGGAAGAAAAAAAGAGGAAAACATAAGCTGGATTGGGCCAAGCACTGTGGGCAGTTAGAAAAACTTCAGAGGGAAGATGCTGCATAAAACATCCCAAGTAAAGAGAAGTGAAGCACAGGCTGAGACAACACGCAGGGAGGGAGGGCTGAGAGTGGATCAGTCATCAGTGCTGAAAGCCTGGAAGTCACGGAGAGGCTGAGGGATGGGGTGAGATGATAAGAGCTGATGTTGAAATAAACCATGTGATGTGTTGTAGCGGTAGAATGGGGTTTTCTAACATTTTCTAACATAAGCATCACTGGAGTCGATGCAAACATGCAAAGACAAATGAACCAAGTGCTTTTAGTTCTCGCAAAATCCTGTGTGCTTTGATTGCCTCCATTTCCACATTATCAGAGCTCCCCTCTGTCCTTAAAGCAGTTATCACTACAGCAATAGGGATGGTAAGGAATTGCTGGTCTGCGGGTAGTGTTCCATGGCAAATCCTACCTGCAGTCACGCTTCAAGTGGGGCTGAGAATCGAACGCAGGTCTTCTGAATCCCGAAAAAGTAGTCTAAACATTGGTTCATCCTCCCTCTAAGCACCTGCCTTGGGCATAAGCCACATTGATATGATACATTCCATTGAGAAATGAAGCTTGTTTTAGTGATTTCTTTAGTGGTGTTAAAAATATCCTAATTTACTTATGAGATTCTTAGTGGGACAAAATTAAGCCTGTAACTACATAGCTGCTGTTTGATACAGAATTATGTTTTAGAAGAAGCTAACCAGGCTTTTGATTGATACAGAATTATGTTTTAGAAGAAGAAGCTAACCAGACTTTTGGAGAGGCTTTCTCTGATTTAGTATTTTCTGTTCTTTCAGATAAACCGGGAAAGCTGGTGTTCGTTAGAGCCATGCCCGGATTCTTCACTGCTGGAGCCCAGGAGGACCCGGGAGTCTCCAGGTGAGCTGTGTCTTGCGGGGTTGCTTCGCCCTCACCTCTCTGCATGCAAAACAGAAAAGCAACCTGGGGATTGGCTTTGCTTGCAAGCCTTCTCCTCACTTTTCTTATGTTTTTTTTTTCACTCGAACCTCAGGGGAAAAAACACATAAGCAGCAGAAAAAGTGTAATGAATCTATAAGAAGTCATTGTTAGCTCATGGTAGTAGCGTTTGGCTTATAGTGACTTGAATGGTATGTCACCTTCTTGAATAGCTGTGCATTTAAAGTATTTTGAACAGTTTTTTTTTTTTAATAAAACTGAAAGGTCTGACAGGGAACAAAGACATGATTTCTAGCCAAAATTGAGGATTCATAAAAAAAAAAAAGTCAGAAACTTAGACTCCCACATCCATATTTAGATCCAAATAAGTGGTTTGTTTTTTTGGGTTTTTTTTTTTTTTTTCCCTCTAAACGTTCCCATGATTTCCAGGCTTCAGGAAGCAGGAAGGCTGTTCAGAGCCATCTTTCCCACACCCTGCCCATCACTCATGGTAGTGAGCTCACTACCGTGGATGCTGGCTACTGTCCCCTGTCTATTCCACAGGGACAGTAAAACCTTGCCTGGCAAGCCTCAAAGAGGGCTGATGTCAAAGATAAGGGGGAAAAAAAGCATTTCCTTTCATTGAATTATGGCTATTTAAAACAAAATGGAGTAAGTTATCAGGGCCATTAACAGTGACTTTGGACTCTTCACGGAGTAGACACTTGCTTTCCTTTCCTTACAGCAATTAGAGTGGGGGTCTCACCTCAATCTCCTTCAATTTATGTAAGACAGGAAAGGATTAAATCACTGAGTGTGGGTGTGAAATTCAAACCTGATCTGTCAGAGTATAGGCTGGGGAATGATATTGTAGGTACCTGACGCGAGATATATGCCAGGTAAAAAGCTCTCTAGCTTCCATCAAAGTGAAATAAACACTTCTTTTGCTTTTAAGATAGAAGCTATGCTTAGGACAGTCATGCATGATGAATATCTTTTTCAGGGGTGTTTTACAAGGCGACTTGCAGTATTGCGTGTTGCTTCCTTTCTACTTTTTTCCCTAGATATTACTCACCTCTGGTCTACTCTTCAGGCTAGAGTTGATAGATTTCATTCAACTGCAAACTGCCATGTGTGCATGTGAATATATTATCATATATTCAGATAGATCAATGCTTACTAATTAATATAAAGCAATATTATAGAATTATAGTATGTATTATATGAGCAGGTATGCTGTTAAAATATACAGCTGACATTCAGATTGTCCCGCATGGTTTAAGGGGTTAAGGGTTAAGATACACATCTATCATGTGTAGATATCAGCATGGAATTAGAGGACTTAGAACTTAGGTGTAGACATGAGGCTTTGGAAAAGCTGCTTTAGAAAGTTGGTTGGAAGTGTTCTTCCTAAGGCGTCTTACTCCATGATTTGTTTGCCTCTGCATTTGTGCAGAAGCGTGATACCATCTTTGTTTTCTTTTCATGCGCATCTCGAGAGAGGAACACTAGATAAGCACAGTTGCACTCTAAATCCCGGGCTCCGTTGTCATGACCGGCCGTCTCCGGGCCTTGCCGGTCACGGGTGTGAGCGACAGCGCTCCGGGTTGTGCAGCGTAGGTGCCGCTCAAGGCAAACGGCAGAAAGCCGCCCGCATGATGGAAAGCACAAAAAATACTCAGAATAACTCAAAATAAGTGAGGTATCCACTCAACCCTGGAGCTTGGAAACTTAGTTCTCAGGGCAGATGAGAGGAGGCGTGCGCGGGGCTCCCCCACTTCTGTCTCCTCCTCATCTTCCTTCCCCGACTTCCTACCCTTTTGTTTCATGTCCTCTTTCCTCTTCCAGCCTGTGCTGTCCCTTTGCTCATCCTGCAGGGCCTTCCCCCATTGTGATTTATTGCCTGGGTGAGGTATCCGTTCATCGGCGCATCTGGAGCGTCCCCGCTAGTTTTCCACTGGAACGTGGCTCCAGCCCCTTTGTTTTGCAGTCTGGGCTGTGGACACGCTCCGGCCGCTGCCAGCTGGACCGTCGGCACCCTGGCCAGGCTCCCTTCCCGCAGCTCCGTCTCTTCTGCACTTTTTCCTCTTTTTCTTTTCACCTTCTCCTCTTCCCCCACCCGTATCCCCCTGGATTATGGAAAAGAAGTTCAGATTTTCCAGGTTTACCGAGCGGGGGGGAAAAGGAACGAGGAACAGGCACGCCTCATCCAATAACTGCTTTTCCAAGGCTCCGTGGTATGGAAACTCCTCGCTGGAATGATGGCGTTTCCAACCAGAGCCAAGTGACGGAGGCGCCGGGAGAGCCCCGCTCCCGGCAGCGCCCGACGTGGGGCACCGCTCTCCTCCTCCTCCTTTTGCTTCCCACTGCCCTCGCTCTCCACGGGAGCTCTGGGCCGGCCGGTGTTCCGCCTCTCCCAGGCATGCGGATTTGGGATTGCAGCCGCACCAACGTGAGCAGCCATGGAGCTGGCTTGACAATTCTCTCCTCCGACAGCGGGATTTTCCAGCTGCTGTCAGGCCCAATTCCGAACTGGGGCCAGTCAAGGATAGTGAAAGGAAGAAGGTGGCTTCAAGCTGCCCTTCCCCAATCTGTGCTCGTTGTGTTGGCGCGTGAGCTTGACACAGTCAAGCATCAAGCTTATCAGATGTAATTGAAAAACGAAGTGACATTTTACTGCCCTGGCTCCTCTCCAGGGACCTAAGCATGTTTTGGTGGTGTCTATTTAGATTAGAGCAGATCAAAAAATAGCACCTTTCTTAAAATGAAAAAAGAAAGAAAGAAAGCGAGTTTAGCAGAGAGAAAAGAATGTTCAGTTATTGCCAAAATTGTCATTAATGCCTTTGCCTGCAGGCTGAAAAAAAGTGAGACTGCAGCAGACGCTACTGATGCAAATACATTTCTGTTCAGGTTTTTTGAGAGAAAGGATTTTCTGAAGAGCTTTAGTCTCTTTCCACACTGCTAATTACCCGGATCCAGACAGCTAGGAGCACTTTATAAGAAAGGAGAGATGCAATATGTTTATGTTTAATTGGCAAGCGTAATTGGAGCTTGGGAACGTTTTTTTAAATAAATTAATTCTGAATCTTAATAAAGTAAATCTGGCTATGAAACTTATGCTATTCCTTTTTCAGCCAGAAGTATAGGAGAAAGAATCAACAGATGGTCCTGATGTGCACTAAAACCACCTTGGCTTTAACAAGTTAGAGGGAATTGATTGTTTTTAATTTTACATTTATGCAATATGAATCTAATTTTGCGGCTGCTGCAGTCAATGGGAAACATCCTCTTATTCTCAATGTGAGGATACCTGATATGCAGAATACTTATTGGTGCATTAAGCTACAAGTGTACATGGCATTTTAATGGAGAATTTCTGTTTACACAGTGTGCTTCAGTGATCCATAAAAAGCCTTTAAAAAGGCATTTTAATTTTAGAATAAATTCTTCTGAAAATTTTCAGCTGCATTTTGGGGAAATGAACAAAATTTATAAAGCTGTTTTTACTTTTATCTTTGAATCCTTGAATTTACTGGGTCTATAAGACTGGATATATGTGTGTAAAGGAGAGTATCACATTATAACTCTTTCTGCTTTGCTCCCTTAGAATGTGAAAGCTTCCTGGAGGATGGGCTGAGCAGCGTCTGTGCCTCATCACAGGGAGTCCTTAAAAGAGAGTCTGGGAGCGAGTCCGAGCTCTTCCCCTTGCCTGGTGATGGGATGGAAGACATTGTCTTTGGAAAGGTAGGAAAGTGTGGTTGGGATGTGGTTAAAAAGTTGAGGCCTGATTCTATAAATCCATTTTGCAAGCTTGGTTAACTTTGGTTTCAGTGGTGGCTTCTTTCTCTAGAAACCTGGTAGCGATTATTGTGAAACAGAATCCGTCGGAAGGATCCGGTAATCTACAATTACATGCAGCCGAATACCAAAAAGTACGCAAGTTCCTGATGTTAAAAAGATGAAAGTCATTTTGACTGTCCAAAAGTAAATCCGACATTAGAGAAAGAGTTGAAAAATTGGACTTTCTTGTGAGGTCATTAGGGATAGCACAGGTGGTATGAGAGCCATCTTTAGCTAATGCAGCAGAGAAAAGCAATTCCTGAAAGCAATGACCTCTCCACTAGCACCTTCAAAGTCATATACTGTAACAAAAGAATCTTTTTTTTTTTTTGTCAGTTCAATGCAACTCCCTTCATAGGAAGGAAACACTCACTTTAAATACTTAAGGCCAATTCTAGGGTTGCCTAGACAACATACCACACCATTTTGCGTGCAAGTACAAGGAACATGTTTTCAAGTTTGCTCAAGATCAACAACAGAATTCATTGCTAACCTTAGTCATCTCTGTACCCTTTGTGTTGCTTACAGATGAGAAGGGGAGGGAGGGCTTGGTGCAAACTGTGGTGCAGAATCATCCTCCTCAATAGTGATGCCTTGCTTCAGATTTGACCCTTGGTCTTTGTGTTTTTTGCATCCGTGCTGCCTTAATATATTCTGCGGGCAACCGGGTTTTTCTCTTTAACAATCTTGCTTATAATTGATAGTTCTTGCGGTAGGTAAATGATTAGAAATAATCTTCCAGAAAGAGTACAGTGCTGCAGACTGAAGCAGGCCATGAGCCTCCTTGACTGCAGTCAACCCATGGACTTTGGTCCAAGCTCAGTGGAAACTTCCACTTAAGATCTGCATAGTTTTAGCTACCTCAAACTTACCTGTAACGCCGAGTTCCTACTCTGAAAAAATAAAATTTGTATATAGTTTTCACGCCTGCTTTCAGAGAAATATGCGTAATACACCAAAGTTCTCCCACTTAAGATCTGCATAGTTTTAGCTACCCCAAACTTACCTGTAATGATGAGTTCCTACTCTGAAAAAAATAAAATTTGGATATAGTTTTCACGCTTGCTTTCAGAGAAATATGTGTAATACACCAAAGTTCTCCTTGGTTAAGTCAAATCAGATGATGGTGAATATTTTCCAGCGGGACGGGAAACACCACAGCCTGGACTAAGTGATCTCATGTGCTATAAATGAACAGTACAGTCATCCCGAGCAAATGTGGTAGGGCACAAAGCTTGCCAGCCTCACCCTTTCCCATCTTACTTTTGAAGTGCTGGGGGATCCTGGATTTTGGGAATACGAGGCCTTTTGGTGGAGCACGGTCTTCCGTTTCCTTGTGTAGACTGACATGAGTTGAGGCAAGAGACTTTGCCATTTGAGTCTGATTTAATGATGGTAAGGAGATGCGTAAGAGCCCTGTGAGAACACAGTAAATTATATATTACACATAATTTTGGCTTTTTCCATTTCTTATGGAAAAACAAGTTTGTTTCTACAAAGATTTTAAAAAAAGACCTTCAAAACTTAGAAAGCATTGATGATCCAATGTGTTAGGAGTGCCATGAGGAACAGAAAGAGCTGCTGGGAAAGTGCATCTTCAGATCTCCATTGCCAATGGAGAAAGGAAAGGACAGAGTGAGGAAATTATTTTCTTTATAGAAAGGGAAATCTTTTATTAAATTGGCAGCCTTCACAGTGCTCTCATGTGGTGGATTGCAGATTTCATCCAGAAATGAGGAAAGTTCAAAAGGTTCATGAGTTGAGTTTAGGAAGTTATTCAAAGTTGATCTCAACCTCAGTCACATTTTTCTTTGTCTGCTCTGCTGACTAACTCAACTTGATTCCTCATCTCCTTTCTCAGAATTCATCCGTGTACCTTTTCCTCAGCTATTTATATAAAACCAGAAATGTCTCTTTAGCTTTGTGAGCTTGTTCTTTAATTCAGTCTTTTTTTCTAAACTCCAGAGCACAGCTGGTGGAAATGAGTGTTAAAAGTATTTTTTAACATCCATTAAAATAAGAACTGGATTTAATCTGTCTTTTCAAAAATGTTATAAGATACATTTCTTGGTTGTAGTTGGTTATCTCTGTGAAATAGTACCGTTCTCATATTAAACTGAGAAGAGAGCAGACATATTTATGAACAAAGAATCTCAGATCTTTGCGTATCACGATTCTTGCTCTTACCACCTGCTCTTCCATGCTCTTGTTTCTCCTATGTTTGCCGAGAGCTGAGCTGCCTCCTTTTAGAGTATTTTTATTACGCAAGACACTCTTCCTCCATTAGAAAGTTTTGCATAGTGACAGCAGTGACAGGATAGCTGTTAATTCAGAGTTAACTGGTACAGGAAATTGATGGAATAAGCCATTGCCTGTTCAAGGTGTCCCATAAAATGTGCTGCTTCCATAAACATCACTTGGAATTTATAGATTTTAAGTGCTGGTTGTGTCTCAGGGCACAAAGGAGCTGGGGTGTGCTGAGGCTGGATATCTGCCTTAAGCTGGCTCTGATGTTTAGGTACCTGGTGTCCATGGGAGCTCCTGGTTTTCTTGGAGGGACATAGGCATGGGGAACACCCAGGCTCAGGGGGCTCCAGGGTTAAATCCTGACTTGCTTTTTCATACTTTGGAGGCGGCTGTTGAGACTCAGGAATCACTTGCAAATGCATGTTCTAAGGCTCCAACAAATGTCATGCTTTGTGCATCATTCCCCAGCTTCATTCCCATGTCCTCGTCATCCTGGTTCTCTGAGCAGCCGCCTGTGCAGACTTTGCAACACCCCCTGCCTGAGTGATTAATGCAGCAGAAGGTCATTTCTCACAGCCATCTTGTAATTTCCTGGGGCGTAGCCCATAGGTCTTGCTCATCGTAGCTCTTAACCCGCCACCGAAATTCAGCATTCGAGGACGTTTTTAAATGGGCCCTTGGGAAGTGATTCACAGGAGCGGCCCCCTTGGGAAGCGAGGAGCCTGCAGCTCATTGTCAAAGACAGGGCTGGAGCTCACATTTGGTTTCCGCCTTTATTTCAGTCTGATGGAGGAAATAGGAAAGATTTATGTGTTTATGTATTTATTTTTCTTAGAATTGTTTTTTCTCAAAGGGGGAAAAAAAAGGCGAAAGAGGATAAATGTTTGAAGAGAGCAGCTTTCAACGAGGATATTCGGGGCCAGTCCAAATCATAAAAATGGTGATAAATAGCTAATGGGTGGCTGCTATTGTGGGGAACATGGAGCTATAGGTAAATATGAATAGGTGATTCTGTTACACTATATAGTGTTTTGCACATTGTCGTTAAGAAAATCTTTGATTTAATCAAAGATTCAAAACTCGATAACTTTGATTTAACTTTTTCTCAATTCCATTTCTCGAGACCTACAAAAGAAGGGATTTAGCTAAAGAATTTACTTTATTTGCTCCCCATTGCTGCATGCTAGTGATTTCTCTTATTCCTATTCATGAAGAGGAGCATAGGCTCTTTGTTGGTCCTACGTCATATTTTCTTACAATTTCTTACTAAATACAACTGTTTTTGACAGCATGTCTGTAAAAGCTTTTTCTCAGCAATAAGTTTTATGGTCATAATTAGAAGTTGAATGCAGCTGGTCTAATTTGAAGAAAATTAGTATTTCTTTAATATTAATTAAGATCCATTTCTTTTCTACGAACAGTATTGCTTTCGCTAAAACAGGATTAAACAGCAAAGTGTCTCTACTGGCACTTGGCCAGATAGTTAATTAATTTCAGAGGTGTCTTTAGTATAGATGTTTCTTAGATATGTCAGCCAGACTTGGCATTTTCCGGAGTCCTGCTCCTTTGTACCAGCTATTTTGCTTTGCTTCAGAAAGACATCATTTAAATGATGATCAAACACTTTAAAAGTAATAAATTAGGTTCACAAGTTCAAGCAAGTTGCACAGTGCTTTCTGTAGTCTGTGTGATGCTCAGGGTGGAAGTTCAAACAGCGCACATATATTTCACATTCTTAAATTTCTCTTCAAACTGTGATTTGATGATCGAAACCTGAAGCTACCCTGCAAGGAAAGAGGTTTCATTCTGAGCTTTAAACTGGAACAGTGCATCTTATCTGAGGCATAAAAACTCCTCTCTTTACTCTGAGCTAATGCCCAAATATATAACTTGGTGTTCTGCAATATTCTCACTATATTTGCATTCACCTTCTAATATTAGCCAAGTGCCCTGTCCTTCCACGGCACTGGTGCCATGTCGTCCTCTCTCCTCCTGCTGTGCTGCCCCCAAGTCTAACAGTGTTTTCCTGAGTCTCAGGAAAGCAAAGCAGACTGTTTCCTCTTCTGAAGTAGTATTATCCACATAATGACTACTTAATTTGTCTGGATTTAAGCAATTCAGTAAGCTCTCACCATGAGTCACACAAATATCAGATTATCTTGCATCATGCCAAATATAATCAAAAACTTTACAGGGCATCCGCTTCATTCTCCCTTGTTTTAACCTTTTACATGAGTGTCAAACCCATTATGTTAAATTTGCAGTTTTTTACCATTACCCGCCTACTTACACAAATTCACCATTAATATTTGACATCTCTTGTTGTGAAATGAATGGGTTGGATGGGGTGTATTTTTATCATTTAATGTGTAGTGTTTAAAAAGTGTGTGTGTGTTCTTGAGTATCATGCTGTGAGTGCTACTTCTTTCTTCTTTCTTTTTTGATGGATGAGAAGGGGGAAATAGTGTGACAGCATCTGTTTAAACCATCTTAACAACACTATTGTGCGTCTGTTAAGTGAAAAGGTGAAAAAATAGGCAGCCAAACTTGGACTAGGGCTTTTTTCTAAACGGTGAGATGTTTTACTAGGTACCACTCTGAGCACTTCTGTTTCTTTGTGTTTGATTCAGCCAGAAGCTTTTAGCTCAGGTTCGTGCCAACAAGGGTCCCTGGCGCGGGCAGGCGTGTGGCCGTGGCGCTCCCCTTCGTCCCATCCCTGGCCGTTTCCTAATGCCCGTCTCCCTTCCGAGAATTGTACTTTATATTCCGGCATTTTTGGCCAAATGCAGCACCGAGAGCTGGCGAGCCAGCGATTTGAAGGCAATTACCCGCCCTGGCTTTGGTGAGCAGACCGTTATATACGATCTGATAGATCACCCTGCGTATTATTATTTTAAATGATGCAGCACAGGGCTGTGCAGGAGAATAAATGGCAACTTTCCACATCAGTCCCTGGGGCAAACACCATCTCAGACTGAAGGTGATATCATAAGCATCGTGTTTTTTCTACTAGCTGTGGGGAACACAGGATAAGCAGAGGCTGCTTTTAGGCTGCATTGTCAGCGTGTGGTCCCGTGCCAAGGAGAACCGGTTTGGGTTCTGCTTACTGCTTTTGGAGCAAGCTAAACCCAAAATTGCAGGATGAATCAAGACCTGTAATACAACACGGTTGATCCCATGGAACAGTATTTCTCAAGTATAGCTGGATTTGGAAAATGCTGCACACCCTGGTGTTAAACTTTTTGCTTAATGGAAAGTGGTTGGGGATGGGGATTGCAGGTAGAAGTGGCTGGAGATGCAGTTTCCTGGAAGCAGGACTCCCTGCATGGTGTGAAATGCTATAAAGCGAAGATATAGACACATCTGGGAGCCCAGGACTGCGCTGACAGGACCCAGAGATGGAAGACACAGTAACAACAGAGAGCACTTCAACCTCCTCTGAAACCAGAACAAAATGTCTCCCTTCTCTGATGATTAATTTGCCTCATGCTCTCAACTAAGAAATCTCACAAATAAATATATCTGCGTTTATTTAAAACGTTAAATGCATTTATCTAGCTTCGCTTTTAATTTTCTTTCCTTTTTTCTCTTTTTGCCGCAGCATCCCGAAGAGGAGCAGTCGGTGTGTGATGTCACCAGCTCCAGTTCCTCTGCCGACGACACCATGTCCTTGGAAAGAAACTCATCCCTGGGCAGCGACACCTCCCTCCCCTTCCCACCGCCGCTGAACTTCATCAGGCCCAAGGACAGGTACAGTTTGGATGGAAGCTGCATTAACATGGTGGCCACGGAGGGAAGAGAGGGTGAAGCCGCTGGCTCGGGCGAGACGGAAGAGGAGCTGGACAGCATCACGGACGTGCCCCCGCATTCCTCCGTCTTGAGAAGCTCCATGCGGCCGCTGTCCCCGTTCCGTCGCCATAGCTGGGGGCCGGGGAAGAACGCCACCAATGAAGCAGAAATCAATCAGAGGAGGTGAGTGAAGAGCTGCTTTGCTGCTTTGCTTTGCACCCGCTCGTGCACGTTCGTGTGAGCTTTGTGCTTGATACAGTAAAAAGGAAAAGTGGGGATGTTTCTCTTTTTTTTTTTTTTTTTTTTTTTTTTTTTTTTTTTTGCGGGTGAAAAAAAATTCATTTTTTTTTTTTTTAATAAAATTTCAGGATGAAAGTGCTTAATACTACAGTACACTTCAGCTTTCCAGAGCATAGAAAGAATGACTCAAAGCTTATTAAAGTGGATGGAAATGCCTTGTAACAGATCTTCCATTTGAATCATCACTGCCCCTTTCTATATGAAGGGTTTTGTTAAAGGAGTTATTGGAGAGGAAAATCTCATTGACCACAAAATAAATGCAGTGCTGTTACTCTGACTTGTAGTATGGGCTTCAAGGTATTAAACAGAGGCTGCTAAATGTAGGGTAGTTGTGGTGGATAGTGTTGGATAGTTCCCGTGTGACTCTGGATAAATTTCAGAATCGGTTTCACTCCAGTCTCTCATAGACAGTACCACCTAAAACACATTCCCAGCATTCTTGGAGATGCCCAGGAAAATTCTCTGTTTGCAGTTTTGTTCTTTCAGAAAATTCGGTAGGGAAGGTCCTAATAGCAGAATGATGGTGAGACTCCTTTTTGTCAAGCATGAGAAGTTGAGAAGACCGTGAGAAGAAACGGTATCCTTCTCTAGAGCTAAAATGAAATAGAAGATATGCACAAAAAATAACCTGAGCATTGGGCTCTCCAACCCCCGCCGTGCCTCATGTGTACAGGCACAGCTGAGCTTTGGAGGTGTCCCGAGATATACATAAGTATATATACATATACATAGATATCTGTGTATATATCAGGTGGAGGCTGCACATCGAGACCCAGCCCTGTCCCTGGGGGTGCAGCCTCGCTTCATCACAGATCTGCTGTTAAGCTAAACTGAACCTTGAGCGATGCCATTAAGCCCAGCCATGGACTATGGGTTACTTGTAAATAGCTCCTGGGCAGCTGGGATGATCCCGTGGGAGCTGGGCATCTCCCTTTTGAAGTGCAGGCACATTAGGAGCTGTGTGTCTTGCTAAAGGAAGGTTATAAACCCTTCACCATTTAAAGCTAATACTGAAAAGCATTAAAGAACCTACAGGGTAACACAGGGTGAAAGGTGGTTTTTTATTTACTTTTATTATCATTTTTACTGCCACCTTTTTTGGACTTCCTTCCGGGTCCCCAGGTGATATTTAAATGAATAAAGCAATACCTATTGTGTAAAGATGCAACAGAATCAGCAGCAGTTATATAAGCTGGTTTATGATACAGTGAGTCCATAAGCTCATAAACTCATTTAAAAAGATTTATTTTTAAGTGTAGGGCCTCTTATGTAAGGATTTCTGAGAGTAATAAGCTGCATAGCTAGCAATTACTGCTAATACTTAACAGATGGAGTTAAGTTCTTCAGCATCAGGATTTGGAGGCAATTTATGATGTGGGAAACTACATCTATTGTAAATGTAAGATAATTTGAGTAAAGGAAAGGTAATTATTCTCATATGTTTTCAGATACGGCTGCCATTTCATAAGACTAGCTGTCACATAGGTTAATTAGAAGAGAAAAGCTGGATGGGTCTTAGCTGCTGTTTTGTTCCTGCTTTTTTCATGCTTTTGATACAAAGAAATTTGAATTATTTTTTTCTCTTCTCTGTTCTCATACACGGCTGTTGTGATGTTGGTGATTGTGTTGCTTAGTGGGCACGAACAAATACGCTGGGAGTGAAGCCCATAGCAGTGACTGTCATGCAGATGAGTTAAAATTGGGATGTTTGGCTGAGCATTTGTTTCATTCGTGTCTACTTTTCCAATTAAAGGAGAATATCTTTGACTTGTGAAAACCTTTTAAATTAAGTCACATGAAGTGCAAGCCTTATCTAAGGTCTATCCTGTCAGACACCTCTCTGACCCTTCAGCTTGCTAATTAATGGAGAAGCAGCTTAACCAACAAAGGTGGAATTGCCACCAGAACAAACCCAAGGACCAACACAAGGAGAGGGGCAGGATTGCACTAGCAGGATATGGAGGGGAATCATGTTGCCTTTTACAATAGCTGCTAAATAAACCAAACAAAAAGTGATTCCCATCGGAGTATGGAGCTTTCAGCCTGCTCCAGCCCCTGTCCAACCCCCAGAAGGTCTCTCCATTGCCTATGGAGGCAGCTGAGTTGGACTTCAACAGAGCTGCTGGTGTAGGACCTGAGGAGCCCACCTAAAAAGCCACCTTCTTTATGATTTGATCTTTCCTGGTGTTACAGATTTTCTGTTGGTAAGAGGGGAAGGATAAAATTTTGTTCATAGAAAGTGTTTTAAAAATCCAACCATCTCAAATAAAATGTGAAAATAGGCCCAGTTCTCCTCCTTTTACACCTTTCTCCTCAAATCTGTTTCATGGCTGGTCCTCATGTTGCTGTTAAAGACATAAAAATGATTAGCAAGGCTGCCACAAAAGGGATGTTCATCCTTGGCTAATTCTTCACATTCATAGTGGATGTTATCTCTTTAATTCTTCACATTCATAGTGGATGTTAAGTATCTCTCTTTTCACAACAGTGCAGTGTTGTTAATGTTCATGGCTGGGAAAAGAAATGACTGCATTTTTCTCTGATGGACTAAACACTGCAAAACTGAAGCCGTTGTTAGTTTGGCTGTTAACAGCTGCTGTCAAATAGTTTGTCCTAATCTAAACTTAAAACTGACTTGGGTTTGGCAGCAGCTAAGCTGCAGCACTGTCAGTACCTGTTCAATTTTTTTTTAATTCTTAAAAAAAATGGTATGAGAGAGATATTATTTTCTCGCTTTCGTACTTCATTTTGTATTTTCTTCAGCATTTCCATTCCCTCTGTTATTTGTGTGTTGGGGATAATAATTCTTCAGCTGCCGTTTGTTCGTTTTATTCCATTCGATTTGCTGACCACTGTCCATGATTCATTTTCAGTTCATTGCGAGTTCTGGGGGATGGTATAAAGAAGCCTCCCATTCATAGGAGAAGGTACAAAGCCAACTAACTTGACTAACCCTTTTGCGTTTGAATGTCTACTAACCTAGTCACCACAGAGTCATGTCAGCTAACGTGGGGCTGGGCACTGCCTCTCCAAGCAGTTGTTTTACAGAGTTGTGCATCCAGCTTGGCCACCTTCCTTCTTTACTCTGACATGGGCCAATTTTTATGACTTGTAGAGCACATGAGAAAGCCATTTCCTCCAGGGCACTGTGCTGGTGCTTTGAGAAAACTTGAACGTCATTTTGTGGGGCTTTTCCACATGTAAGATTTTAAGTCATATTGAAATCATTGTTTATCTGAACAAATATTTTCAGTTTTTTTTTTAAAGCACATCAGAGAGCAGTACCAAGCCCTGCATGGTGGACACCTCAGGGAAGGGTCTCAAAGTCAGAGAGTACCCTGCAGATGATGATCACAGATGGTGATAACTCTAGTTTTGCTCTTTTGCTGTTTTTGAAACCATCTTCCTAAAAAATAGAAAATAGGTATTTCTGCTTCCATACACTTTTCTTTGTTTTCTTCCAAAGGGCATACTTTCAGTTCCTTTTCCTTCATGTAAATACACATTTTCATACATTTAACCTTAGAGCTGTCTGTTACCATATGAAGGAGATTTTTGACTTAGCAGCCATGTCGGTTGCCTACTTTTATATATTTAACTTCTCTCCTTCCTTCGGTGGCTGAACCTCTGCTGATCTCCCATAGCCTGTGCCCGTCCTCCTGTGGCAGGTTATTGGAAGATTTCTTTTGCCTTGAGATGGATGGGGTTACCTGCAGTATTGCTCTAGGCTACCTAGATGTGGAAAAAAATGTCCGTATCTTCACATATGGAAAAAATGTCACTGTGGCCTTACCCCGTGCATCAGTGTAAATGCAGGCTTATGAGGAGCACCATACAGTTCAGGGGAGGGCTCCTGAAGGAAAAAAGAGGAAGGACACAAGGAAGAACATGGTTTTTGACTTCTGTGAAGCCAGTCTATTTGCATCCCTCTCTGCCTTGTAGGAAGACAGAGGAAGCAGTGCTTCTCAACTCATGCAAATGAGCATCTTTTTGTTATCTTTATGTTAATACTCACACAGTTCCAACAGAGGAGTCTTGAGTCAAGTCTGAGGCACTGAGCTTACATCATCAAGAATTATGTCTCAAATAGGCAGTGTGAAATACCTAGTAATTTGTGCAAATTTATGATAATTCTTTCATAAGCATTCTCTCTTCCTTTTTTTTCTGGCCTCCCAACCATTTTGATATCATCTTCCCCAACACTCGTTGCAGAGTGACAACCTCAAACTGATTCCAGCAATTCATGTTCTCATCGAGGCTGCTGTATATAATAGATCTCCCCCACACCGGCCCTCCAAAGGCTACATTTTCTGTGGAGGGCTTTTCCTCTATATACAATGACCTCCGCTCAGTTTTTATGGAGTTGCCAACAGATTGTGGGTGGCTCACCAGCAGGATGGTAATTCTGCCAGTCTCTGTTTTCCATAGCTCTTGCCAAGAGGTCTTTATCCTTCTCTGAGATCTCCCACCACTCCAGGGCACTCACTTTGTTTCTGCCTCTGTCTCCCCCCTCTCTCCCGTCATCCTCTTTCCTTCCCTGCCACTTGAGCATTTTAGATTGTCACTGTAAAGTGGCAAGAATCAGGAATAGATGCACCTTTACAGATACACTATCTGGGGTAAATGTTAAGTGATCTCAACGAGGAAATTTTTCTCTCCTTCCATTCCTAAGTACACACAAGAATTACTGACTCGTGCAAACAAATCAGTGAAAGGAAATTAGTGCAAGAGCAGCTCCAGTGGATGAGGCCAAAGGCCCATTCAGCCGCCCATCCTGGTGGCTGTAAGCAGGTGGGCAGGGAGTGTAGTCCAGGGAAGCAGAGCTGATACCGGAGTTGCCAACAGATTGTGGGTGGCTCACCAGCAGGATGGTAATTCTGCCAGTCTCTGTTTTCCATAGCTCTTGCCAAGAGGTCTTTATCCTTCTCTGAGATCTCCCACCACTCCAGGGCACTCACTTTGTTTCTGCCTCTGTCTCCCCCCTCTCTCCCGTCGTCCTCTTTCCTTCCCTGCCACTTGAGCATTTTAGATTGTCACTGTAAAGTGGCAAGAATCAGGAATAGATGCACCTTTACAGATACACTATCTGGGGTAAATGTGATCTCAACGAGGAATTTTCTCTCTCCTTCCATTCCTAAGTACATACAAGAATTACTGACTCGTGCAAACAAATCAGTGAAAGGAAATTAGTGCAAGAGCAGCTCCAGTGGATGAGGCCAAAGGCCCATTCAGCCGCCCATCCTGGTGGCTGTAAGCAGGTGGGCAGGGAGTGTAGTCCAGGGAAGCAGAGCTGATACCTGCCCATGTTCCTGTCTTAGTCCTCACCTACCTCTGCTCAAGTGATTTCCTGACACCGCGGGGATTAACATGCTGCTGGAAGCGCAGACTGAGCGGATGTACGATACCGATGAGTTTACTGTGACCATGAAGGCTTACTTCTTTCATGACCTGAAGAAAGTATTTAATCCCCTTTCCTCACTAACGCTTCCACATGTTTTGGCCCTTGATGTATTGGAATATGAAGGGCAGGTTTGCCTTCATAAAGCTTGTTCAGGGCAGTGTGCTGAAGGCTGCTGGTGAAGAGTACCCCGATCTGCAGTGCGCAAAGTCCTTTAGAGGTGTCTTCACCCAGTTAACATTCTTGATCAGACAGGTACCAATTTTTGGAATTCCCACTCTCAAACCCTTCTAATTTTTTTCTGTGTTGTGCAGTTATGGAAAGGATACAAGGCAATGGCAAAAAAACATGTGCTGGCAGTGGCTTTAAACCTTCTTTTGTATCATCTGAGGATTTTTTTTTCAGATTTTGGATGAGAGATGCTAGAAAAATACTGATTATTACTAACATAATGGCTATGTGATTCCTAATGCAAACGTGGCTTTGGTGTGTTTGGTCCTGCTTTCCCTCAAAACGTCTCTCCTCCCGAGAAGCAGTTTGTCCAGTATGTTGAGCACCCACTGATGGGATCGGTCCGAGGGAAGCGTGCGCTGTCTTACCACCCATTCGGTGGTGACCAAGGACCTCCATCATTTGGGGAAGTCTGGTGTGTTCTGACAGCCAGAAATACATATTACCTATTGCACTGATTTGCGTGAGTGTGGTTTTTTCCTAAAGATACATGAGTGAGAGTCTTTTAACATTGACCCTTTTCCATAACAGTCCAATAATCACAGCCCTTTTCCTTTCTTTGCCTCTCTGATGTTCCCAGTTTGAGCTGGTGTCCCTCTGGCGTACAGTTCATTGCCATGGCTCCTGACTTTAATTGTAGAAGGTACGGTATAAATGAATGTGCGGCGGCAGCAAAGGAGCACTGCAAAACCTGCCTTGTTGCCCTCTCCTGCCCAGGCTTTTCCTCCGCTGCTCTGGCTGAAACGTGCACGTGTGTTTTTGCTTCGGCTGCTTTTTCAGCAATTAGGCTCGGAAATGGGTCTTCTAAAAACGGGTGCAGGTGAAGGTGGTGGCTGCTTTCCGATGGCCTTGAGTGTTAAAGAAGCTGCACTGTTGGGTTAGAGTTGCTGTTTTCCCTGTGTTTTGCAGCAGCGATAGTCAGAGCGATAATTGTGAGAGCCAAGTAATCAAAGGGAGAGTTAATGTGATTCAGCTCTGTTTTGTTCTGGGCATGTCTTATAAAGGGTTTAAGCTCATACAGACTGGCTCTTTGTAAATTGAAAGCTCTAGTTTCTTCTTCAAAGAGGCTAATCATGTAAAACCTCTGTGAAAAAACTATCTGATAGCCACAGATGAAAATTTCCCAGACATTTAAAATACGCATTGTCTGTAAAAAGTCCCAGTGTTGGGATTAATGCTTACAGGTCAGATCTTTTCCTGATAATGTGCATTAACATAACTGCAGGTCTGTCTCCCAGACTTTATAGCTTCTGTTTTCCTCTGGCACTTCTTGCTGGTTGTGGGTAGAGCTTTTCAGCTCTTTTTCTGATGACTAGATATTTAAGAAGATGACACTCTGCACTTGAAGTTGCAGAATTGATTAGAATTTGGTCCAGATGCGCTGACTAACAAGGCCAGTATGACCAATTGATGGCAAATTGATGGGCTGCATAATAATATTTGAAGTTTTGAGCAGAGTTATGTGTGTCACACCAAGCTGCATGTTTTGTTTGTTTGCTTTGTTTTCTGTGATATCACACTTATCTTGGGGTAGAAGAAAAAAATGTTCCTCTGTCCTAGATAATCAATAGGAGAGGGACTGATTTCACTGTGCAGGTATTTTGGAATAATCTGTAGAAAACCTGCTACTGATAGACATTGTTGAGTTAAAATCTTCCTGAAACAGATTAAACTGTAAGTGCCTCAGCTAGTCTCTTTCTCACTAACTAACATGAAAAAGTCTTCGCTAAATCTTCTTACTCAAGATTTATTGCAATTTTTGCTTTGAAGATATATTTATCAGCCACTTAGTACTTCTAATGAAATGTAGAACATGAGTAACTACTGTGCAAGTCTACCTGAATTTAAAACACCTCTGATTTAGAGTGTTGGGATTATTTGGGGTTTTTGTATGTTTTTTTCCTCTTAAATTTGTTTGAATGTTGGCTGTTTGGCTGCTCAAATCTCATGATTAGCCTGAAGCTGAGATGTTATTTAGGGTAGGCCATACTTCAACCCAAACCGTATTGACATAGATGTGCTAGTGTATCTGGAGATGAATCCCAAACTTGCAATGGATTCATTGATGCTTGGCCTCAATGCTGAGGAAGGTCAGAAGCAGAAGGTCAGACTGAGGGATAGTGTATCTGGAGATGAATCCCAAACTGGACTTGCAATGGATTCATCGATGCTTGGCCTCAGTGCTGAGGAAGGCCAGACTGAGGGTAGATCAGGTGAAAATAATCACATGTGAAACATTGTTTTGGAGTGTATTTAGCATTATTTTGTGTAGAGATCACTTGTCTGTCCTCAGCAGCTGTCTCTACAAACAGAGGTTGCCCAAACCTGTCATATGTACCAGTTCTGCAAGCAAAAGTTTTATATTTTGTTTAATTTTGAGTGATTTTATCTGGCTTCACTGGACAGACCTAGTTTTATAAGCAAATGATGTTAGGACTGATTGGCTAATGGAGACACATTTATTGAATTAGGGGGGTTAAAAAGAAGGAAAAATAAACCAGCTTTCACTGCAAGAAGGGCATTATCAGCACTAAAGCCTCTTGTAGTGACAAGTGCTAAACAGATTCAGAGGATACTCTGCAAAGAAGAATATTGCACTCAGCCTGGGTCTGATTCCGTGGCTGCTGAGAGCTGTAGTTTCCAAGTACAGGCAGCAGTGGGCTGTGCAGGTAGTTCAATTTGAGTGGCTGCATTTCAAGGGGAAACTAGCAAAGACAACAAAACAGAATACGTAGAAATACCAAAATCTTTAAAAGTGATTCTAGATTTTCCTCTGTACCTGTCAATCGGGAGAAAAAATATGGAAAAGTCTACTGACCCAGGAGTTTGAATGGTTATTCCCAAGCAACCCTGATGTCTCAGTAGAGACACAAAGGTACTACTATTTGTTCTGAAGAAAATGTAAAGATAAATGCTTCCACTGCCACCTACATTTGGTCCTTGAGAAGTAAAACGTTGAGAAATAACATAAGTGTTTCCTTCTGTGATTCAGCTAGGGATTGCATTCTGTTGTACGCTTGAAGGCCCTATGTGATGAAAGACAGTAGGCAATGAGAATCGGTCGGGATTTAACCCACTTGTTTTTCCTTCAGTTACAGCCTAGAAGGCCTTACCGGGGACCCTGGTGAGAACAAGAAGCCCTCGGCCAGCTTGGAGACCTCTTCTCTGAGCTCCAAGGATCTCCGACGAAGTCCGCTGGCCAGCGATGAATGCGGGTCCCTGGTGTCTCTCACTGAAGAACTGGAGCAGGCAGAAATCAGAGACTATGATCACCAGGTAAAGCTGTCCAGCTTTCCTGGTGTTTCATCTGTACAGCTCAGCTTCTGTTTTTGGTAGCCCCTGCCTTTCTCACCTATTACCTTATTCTAGGAAAAGGGTTCTTGTTTTTATAAATTTTCAGCTGTTTGACTTTTAGTGTGATTTTCAGTCAGCACGAGGCCTGAGCTGTTATCTGAAATGGGTACGAAGCTGCTGGGTTTGACATGTTCGCTCAGTGTTTTTTCTTTTGTTTTGTTTTTTCCTCAGATGAATCAAAGATCACAGCCACAAGGATTTAATTTCTGTGTCTCTGCTGTTTCTTCTCCACTGACCAAATCTATGTCTCTAATGGCAATTAGTAAACCAGTGCTGGACAGTAAGTAAATTTTCAATTTTCCATATCCATTCCATATCTGGTGGTATTAAGCATCTCTTGCTACCTTCCCAAGGCAGAATTAATAACACCTGCTGTTTCTTTCATGTATGATGTGAAATATCGATGCTCACTATTGCATGGATCTGTGGGTAGATAGGCAGACCTCATGTAGTTTGTATCCTTATTTCCTTCCTACCAGCATCTCTCTGGTGTTATTAATTCTGTGGTTCCTTTTTTTTTTTTTTTTTTAATTAGACAGGTATCAAAACTATGATTTATTGAGTTTGTTGTAGAAAAACTCTATTTGAATTTAACATCCTTTCAGAATTGTTTCCTCTGATATTGAGGTAAATTCTGCTTGAATTCTAGTTTTCCTAATTCTGGGTTTTTGAAAGCTGAGATGTAGAAACTTGAGAACACATCCCTTGGTATCACTGAGGGAGCTTGTTGCTCTTTCTTTATTTTGAAATAAATGTTTTGGGGCATAATTTATTGAATCACATTTCTGAAGAAAATGTCAAAAGACAATTAGGTGATTTTTTTCTACTTAATTTAGCTTAACTGATGCAGCAACAAGCATTTAATTTTGCAGCTTCACAAAGTTTATATTTTGAGTTGAGCCATTCAGAAGGCCGCAGCTGCATGTGCTTAGGAAAGGCCATGTTGCACATGTTTTCATTTTCAGAAATTGGTTTATTTTTTAGCTCACGTCTCATTGGTCAGTAGTGGACTCTGATCTTTTCCTCTTTCTTAACATACTGCTTTCTTGCAGTTATGTAATACCCATCTTTGGGCTATTGCATGCAATTATGGGTGCAGGGTCGTGGTTGTCTGTACACTGCAATTAGCGCTATTCCTCGTCCCCACAAATGAAAACAGCAGCTGTTTTGTTTTGTGGTCAGTAGACCAATCATCTCCCAGTGGATTTAGCAGATGGGCAAAGGGTTTATTTGATGGTTGCATGTTTTTGATGAGTTTTGTCATGCAGATTCAATCTGGTACTGTGCTTCTGAAATTAATGCCAAAACATTAACATTAATGGAAGCATCAGATGCAAGTGGAGCTGTATTGAAAAATCAGAAGTTCTGCAAAGCTTAAAGGGAAAAGGTACTTTAAACCGAGGCATTTTAGTAATTTAGGAAGCTTGCTGGAAGAAGCTCACAGAGATTGGGCTATGTAGGAGACACTTAAATTCTTTGCCCTCATTCTTCCATGATTAATAAGCATGTGGCCTAACGAATGTGTCCCCCAGCAACAGTAACCAAAACACTGGCAAACTTATCCCATGAAAAGATCAGATTTTGCTCTGTATGATGGCGCACCCTCTTTCCTCCTTGTGCTGAAGGCCTTCATTATTTTTTCAAGCAACCAATTCATTGGCAATGCTTCCAGTTGCTAACCAAACACTATAAATAACTCAGCTAACTCCCAGAAAACAGACTCTCGTGGTGGTTAAGAGAACCTGGCAGGCTGATGCTTTCCTCCTTCTTGCTTGAGACTTTCCTCAGGAAGGAGGAACCTCGCAGAAGTTTACAGTGATGGAGGATTTGTACCACCACCAGATAAATTCCAACTTTTTCACAATTTTCCTGTCTCATGACCCAGATTAAAAATACCATCAAGGCAGTTATCCTTCCATTTTTATGCCAGTCTAAGCAGAGTGGTCTCTTTGTGAGAGAAGGAACAAAGAGAAAGTATTAAAATATCTATGGGGGCTGTGGAGGAGCTAGCAAGGTTCATGTTTGAGAAGGACATCTTCTAGCTATGGACATCGATGTTAAAATGACTAATGCTTTTGTGTGCTTTCCCTTCTCAATAGCTAATTTGTGACACCTTTGCAGGCTCTCTCTCTTGTAGGAAGGTGGTTTGAAGGAAGCATCCAAAAGCATTACTCGCGTTGGAAATTTAGGTCATGGATTCTCTTCCCACTCAGACAGTTGACATAAATCTCTTCATTCTACCTCCATTACTTTGAAGCAGAAGTGGTGGTACCAGTTGGAGAGGTGACCATAACAACCTAGGGCCTTTTTCAGAAGATCTGAGGTTACATAATATAAAGTTTCTTGTACCATTTAGCTTTAACATTCCTGTTATTGCAGCAGAATACTTAAAAGCCATGCAAAAATAAATCTTTTGTGTATTGGGGGTAAATTCTGGGGAAAACTTTAATTGTCCATGTTTCTTCCTTTCACTTACATAATTTTGTGTTAGGTGTTTTTAAAAAAAATAGTAATAATAATAATCCTTGACCCCTGCAAAGATGTCTGGATGAAAAAGAAGCAACATGTTTTGCACAAAAGCTTCAAAAATTAAATTGAGTAAATATATGGAGAGCTTTCTCCTGTCTTTCTATGTATTGTCATAGGTACTGAGATGGGAGAAGCTTCCAAGAACAAGTTTCTAACCCCCACTTCATTTGTTGTCTCCAAAAGTAGCTGTGGCCACTCACAACTGCTCTTCCTTTAGCGTTTCGTAGGGAGCGGTCACAAGAGCTGCTGGCTGGAGCACTTGGCAGATTGATTTCAGCTCTGGAATAGCAAATCTCCAGTATGGAGCATTGTTATATAGCCAGGAACTGCTATAAATAAAATCACCAAAATGGATGTTGAATTGAACTGTGCTGGAGGACATTGTTCTATTTACAGTATTATTGTTCATCGTGACTTTTAGTCTAAATAGATACTAGACTACAGAAGAAAGAAGAGAGTGTTTTCCAGTCATGTCCTAGAGCAGTGGAAGAGCTCTGTCTGAAAGGGTCTAAACAAAATGGGTATCTGAATCTTACTAAGAATTCCTCAATTTAAATGCCTTCTACTGGGTCCATCTCTAGGATTGTGCTGCATTAGGTGATTAAGTTGGAAAAGTGTGAACACAATTTTAGTCCCTTGAGGTGTTTGCTGCTTATGACTAATGACTGAAGGAAAATTTCAGAAGAGTTTGCTTGGCATTGCATGTTTTGCATGAATATTTCTCAGCTAATATCTTCATATTCTGAATTCAACTCTGCAGTAAGTTATCAGCAGTGCAAGAGCTTCTCTTTGTATGTGGCCAAGAGGACATGTGCTGGGTTTCAGGCTGGAGGTTACAGTCAAATGACAGGAAGGTTTGATCCCCTCAGAGATTTCCATAAATAGGTTATGTGGCTTGCTGATATCAGATGTGTGCTGTAGACTTTTTTAGTTTTTTCAGAAAATATATAGAATAGCACTCAATATTAGTATTCAACTATGCAGCAATTTCAGTTAAAAGTAGAGTGGTTGGTAGGTTTCTACATCTCTAAAAGCCATACTTTTAAACAACTATGTTTACATAGCAACAGCCTTGCAACTTTTCTTAAAAATAAATTATTTTAAAAAAGTAGTTAAAGTGTGCAAAGTTTTCAGGAGAGGCCATGGGCAAATACCAGGGATTTCTGGAAAGGTGCTAGCAGTACTAGTGCATAAATAAAATTTCACATATTGAAATAAGTAGAAGAGTCGTAACATATACAAGAGAATATACTTGAAATTGTTTTCATTTTCTGTTACTAGTGGGAGATTTTATGTCACAAACTGATTGCTGAGTTTAGCACTCTGCCTGACAGACTCCTCACATGGAGAGGACCAAACAGGCTGCAAAGGGTCTTTTCCCTTACTGAGGCCGTTTCTTTAAAACAGGACTACAAATTTCAGAAGAAGGCAGTAGAAGAGAGCTTATTTTTTCTGTTTTATTTTTGGGAAGAAAAGAGAGTTTAAGTCACTTAGCTTTAAAGTTGGAAGCCTAACATGAGCAAAACATGGTGTATTTAGGAGTGGAAGTGGCAAGAACTTCTCCACGTGAATAAGATCAACATTTGAGTTGTACCTGTACCTAAAGCTTCAGAGCATAATTTAACCAAGAAAAGTGCCATTATCAAATATCCTGTTTTGCTGTAGTTTGATTCCCTGGCAGTTCAGTGAAACAGGTGTCATTTGAGCAGAGACCAACTAACTTATTGGTTTGGGAAAATAATTGGTCACATGCAAGTCTTCATTAAGAGTTCCTATGGGAAGATGCCAGCAAAGATAAGGACAGTGGTGAACCTGGCAACGAAAGCGGGGCATCCTCTGAAGTCTGCACATTCTGCATTCTTTGTTGCTTGTGCCTTTTCTGAAGCCAGCTGCTTTGCAGACGTTTCTTTTGTTTGGTTTTAGTTTGCTTTGGCTTCCTTCCTTTCCTTTCTATTATTGAATGCATTTTCAAGCATGCTCTAATGTCTACTGTTAACCCACTTCTCAGCCCTTGGACGGACTCGACCATCCAGACGAATCTCCTTCTCCTTCAGCATCTCTCCGCTCATTCCTAAGTCTAAAACTCTCTTTTCTATTGGCTCTTCTTCCAGTGATGAGGAGGAAGAGCTGGATAGTAAGTAATCATTTTCTATGCATTGCAGCCAGTATGGGCGAAAGCAAGGGGGAATCTGTGTTTCTGCTCTAAACCTTGCAGTTTTACATTGCAAACATTAAGCTAACTGCTCTGTTGCATCATGTCTAACAGCGTTACCTTAGTCCTGTATGTGAATGCTAACAAAGGGCAGAATAGTAGGATTATAACTATAATCCAAAATATTTTGTCCATCAGCACCTTCGTCTTATCTAGTTAGTGTTGGTTCTTATCCAGTTGATGAGTGCTATCATCTACTGTCGTAACTGGTGATATTTCATTACCTTTTTATTATAAGAAAAATAATTGTCCGGAGATTATTGCAGTACATGGATTTAAGAGAAGACAGAGATCCTTGCCCTTCATATGCAAGAGTACATTGCTTGGTGAGAGCAGGAAAGAAGAGAGAAGCCCTGATACTAAAGTCTGAGAATCTTGATTACAACTTCACTGCTATTGGCTTGAGCATAAAACATTACATTGGAGACAAAACACCTTAAATCTCCCAAGTCTTCACTATCTAGGTTGAGACAATAAAATCAGAATAATTTTGGCATGCAGGAGAGTACTATATGGTAGCTTTTTTTTTTTTTTTTTTTTTTCACTTTTCCTGTTCCATTGCTAGCAGAAAGACGAGCAGAGCAAGCCGAGCTTGAATTAAAATCATTTACTCTCCTTGTTTTTAATAGGCACATAAAAGATATTGACACTGCTTCCTGTCTCTTCAGTATATTTTATTAGTATGTTGAAATGAGACAACTGAAAAGATTATTGTCTTTTATCTATAGTGAAAAAAAAACAGAATGACTCTATTGGTTCTAATAAAAGATTTGCCAGGAAACCTACCCCTATCTTGGTGCCCATGGTGGCTTAAGGGATGTTTCTTTCCAGCCCTACAGGTTTTGGTAGCTTCCCTAACTGAAAAAAAAAAAAAAAAGCCCTCCATACCATCCACTGTGCATACCTGTTGTAGGTATCTACTTCTGCTTTCCATCTCCTTTCTTGATTGTGCATTTGCTTCATGTTGCAAGAAAGTCTTCTCCTCTTTTGGGGTGTCCTGTGACCTGTTTTGATATTTTGCTTTATTTCATCCTGTAACAATCCCACCACCTTGGCAAGTCCTCATAGTCAGTTCAGGGTGTAACAACTTTTTCAGGTTTTTTATTAGGCAATAGTTATCTTCTTTTCCTCAGCAGTGCTGCTGTTACAGATGAGCTTTTAGGAATGTCTGATACTGTCTCAAACTAAAATGTTGCCTTCTTTGCATGTGTTTTATGCCCTCATATTTGTGGGTACTGTGGTGACTTTATATAAGGTTGGTTTAGCCACAGCTATTCATAAGATGCTTTGACAATGGGTATTTTTCATGCAGTAATCCTGGACCTTATATTTTTTTCCATGTCTTTAGGGTTCATTTCTCGTAAAAGGTTGGATGTATTTGCCTTCCGATTAAGCTTGTATTTCAATCATCTTTCTTCAATGTCTCCATGCCCCAGCTTCTTCTCTAGAGCATAGAGAGTTAGTTTGTTCAATATGGGGTATTTAAGATGCAAATTTCAGATGGCTTGACAAGCCTGGCTGTGCATTTTAGAAAATGGTAGATGGTTATTATCAAGCTTCTGCACTTCTTGGCACCCAAAAGTCTAATTACCGCCAGAATTAGGGAACTGCAAGCTGTTTTTCTGCTTGCAGTCTGCTAGTCCTGCTGCTTCTCTTTTTCCTAAAGAACCTTGATGAATTATTTCAAGTCCAGCTACCATATGAAATAATTTTGTTGGGTAGTGTTCAAATGCTGTTCAAATAAGTATACCAAAATTTGGCTGCTAACTCAGTTTCATTGGACATAGATAGAAGGTCTGAGTTTCCTACAGAATTAACTTTTGTGAGTTGTGAAGTCTGGCCATGCACTGGCTTTCATATTTCAGTTTTGAGCCTGGTAATGAAGTATAAAAATTAAGGGTATAAATCTTCCTTGCCTCCTCCCACCCCAAAAAAATGCAGAAGGTGAGAAATTATCTTCCATTTTGTGCTCATCTTTATGGGTTTTGTTGCCTGTAGCTGCACGTTGATCATATGGTGCTCTATTGTAACCTAAAATTCAAAACTCTAAACAGGCTTTCAATTTGATTAATGTCTGTATCTGTTTTGCCTGTCAGTGTCGAGTCTTCCATTTCTGTGATTAAGCACTGTCTCAGTAAGAATAAATAGCACATGATCAAAGTCCCCAGGCAATGTGCCTTCTCAAGGTGCTGAAAAACAGCCACGAACAACAAACTATGATGAGTCTTCATTGTGCATTCTTTTGTTTTTCTCACATTGTTAACTGTAAAGAACCAGAATGGTTTGTGAAATATTTAAATCCAACTAAATTGAGTAATCTGTTTAAAAAAAAATAAAATACTAAGGATACTTAAAGCAAGCTAGAGCAGATACAAGAACCAGAATCGCTAGGTTGTTAACCAGGGACAGAAGTGGGAAATCTATAACTTGCCTGTGTGGCCAATTTAGGTACTTAGATGTTAGACAACATATATTAGGTATTTTTTTTTTAAAAAAAAGGTATAAACAGCATAAAATTGAATAAATTTTATTCCATATATGTTACAGTATTAATAGCTGATGTATTCGAGATAGATCTTTAGTTAGATGGAATGTTTAGCTAGTAATGAGGGAATGCCAATACTTTAGGTTTTTCAGTGTGAAGAATTGATATTTCCTTTTCAGGCTTTTGTGGGACTTGAATCAGCATATAGGAAAATGCATATATTAGAATAATAAGGCATAATGTTGTAGAGATTTTCTTAATGCTCTTATTACTTTTGGGCAAAGGATTGTCTTTTCCTCCGTTGTCAAGTGGCTTTTTGCATTCACCCTTAGCTTTAACATTTTAACAGAACTCAAAGCCAAAGTACTGTTTTTCTTGCGATATACATGCAGAAGCCCAAGGACATGAACAGTTGTGCTCCTGTTTGTGTAAATGATGCTGGCGATGGGGTTTTTAGAGTCCTGACAAACCCACTTACTCCGTTGAGATCTTCTCCGCTCCGGATCAGTTCTTTTCAGTGTTCCTTAATGGTTCTGGGAAATGGTATCAGCTCCCTCCTCTGCTCCAGATGCATTATGCAAGCAGGTTTCTTGGTGTATAAAGAAATTGTGTCATTGGCAGGGCTTCAGTTGCCTGTAGAAAGTCAGACTTTCCTCAAGCACAGTTTTGTGTGACTAAGCTCGAAGTCTGAAACGGTTTGTGGAAAATGGAATAAGGCTTCTCTTGTTTCTCTTACTCTTTATGAAGTGCTTCAGGATTTTGATGGGAAAATGAACTATAATTTTATCAAGCAAAAATGTTTTATACATGAAACCCGGATATGTTGCACAATAGATTCTTTCTATTGGTGCATAAATAAAAGTATTGTGGCAGAATGGCTCTCATTTATATGTGTTGCCATTAAATTGGCAGTTCTGAATCATGTATCCTGGTTTACTAGCAAAGATAACAGATTCACATCCTCTGCTTAGAAGCTGATGAATGATAAGAATACTAAACAGTCTTTCACCTCGGTGTCTAATTTGAAATCACCTGAGGATATGGGGAATGGTCTTTATCCTAGCAAATGATATCGATTCTAAGCACCAGCTGATAAACATTTTCCAACCTGTTTTTAAAACCAGTGAGCTAAGATTGCAAGCTAACATTTCCATTCCCATCCCTCCGTCTTTTGCAGCTACCCGGCAGTTCAGCGGCCCCAGCAGCTCCTCAGTTCAAAGGTACAGTATATACTGGTGATACCCTCTCTTCCCTATTGGAACTCCTGCAATGTGCCCACATTTTGAAGACTGAATCCTTCCTAGCTCCAATGACCTTCTGTTGCATTTGCAAATGTCAAGACTTGTGAAGATCCATTCCTGTCTAAAAGCTAAATAATATTTTGTATCACAGAATATGAAAGATTGTCCATTGAGGGCCTTATCTCTAACAGTGAATAGTTCTTAAGGCTTTGTGCTTATTCACAGATAGTAGCATTTCAGATTATATATTATTAAATTATATTAGTTTACCAGGGCTTACTTGTTACTCCTTGCAGGTAATTCTGTCTGTATTCTTATAACGAAGGCAAAATTGATCATGTTTTTGTATGTTACTCTGCATCCTTGCAAGCTGTAGCAAGAAGAAAATCTTTGTGATGAGTGCTGGCTTTAAAAGTCCTTTCCTGCCTGTGGAAGAGGGACAGCATTTGTGGCACTGAAGGAGCTGGGTGTCTGGCATCTGCCTTACTTTCTTGTGTCACTCCTGATGCTTTCCGCTGTGTTTCTTGAATACACCAAGATCAAGATGCTCTTGATCTGTTTTCAGCCCTGTTTTCCACTCTGATTTCATTAATCTTTCTGTCATTTTGCTTTTGGTTTATATGTATTTTGTGTTGTTGGCAGCAGTTTAGTAGTTATTTGGCCATTGGAGCAGCAGAGGGTGCTATGACATGGATTGAGAGTGAAGATTACTTAAAAACAGAGGATATCTTGAAACATGTGACAAGACTTGATTGGCGTTTTGTCTTTACTTTATCGTTGTTCATATAACACCATAAGGAAATCATGAGTCTATCGGATAATAAAAATGCATTTGTGCTTTAAAAAGCATTAATTCATTTAATAGATGCTGTAGGAGGCAAACCAAACCAACCTCTCTTTTCATTTTAGAATATCTGAAGAGAACACCAGTGTTCCCTCTGGCAAAAGTGGAACAAAAGTCAGTCGCACCTTCAGCTACCTCAGGAATAAAATGTCCAGCAGCAAGAAGAGCAAAGTAAGTGGTACTTGTAATTTATATAGCCACATTGTTGGTACTTTTCTTTGTATAAATAATCATTTATCAGGCTCAGAGGCATCTGCAGCAGTTCCTCCTGCAAGTCTCCAACCGCTTGCAGCATCCGTCCTCCCAATTCCTGTAGCATGTTCTCAATACGCAACCTAGAGCGTGGCTGAGATGAGAGGTAGAAACATTCCTCTACCACCTTGAGATAAAGCAAGGTGGTTTTTGTAAAAAATTAAAAAAAAAGAGAGATGATATTCCTAGGTATTTTATAAACTTTCAAACTCTTTTGGCTTTTCTATCATTTATTGGGAAAGATTGAGAGGCAAAAACACAAATGGTCGTAGCAGGAATCACATAGGACCCTTAAGTTTCTGCATCCTCTGCCATCAGCAAATAGTTACGAATTTCATAGTGCCAAAGTGTGTTTCATGTGTCTTGTGTCTGTTTCATTTATTTATTTATATTTATAGAAATTTTCCAACTGCTGCACAAGCTATTCAAAAACTAGCAAAGATCAATTCCACATTTCAATGTGTTTCCATAGGGTGGTGTTTACGGTTTTGTTCCAATTTGGTTCCTTCATTATAGAGGATGGATTGTGCTTTGGTGTGAGTTAATGGTTTTGCAGGTGAGGTCTAATTATTACAGAACCAGAGGAGTACAATAAAGCAAGGACAAGAACTATAAAGAAGAATTAGATGTGAAGGATGTATTGTATTTCCCTTTTATTTTTACTTTTCATACAAGGTTCCTGTGCCCTTAGAGATGACCAGTATTTCTATTATCCTCTTCATTTTGGAAGCAGTCTTTGAAAATGTAGGATTTCATTTGCTGAAATGTTCAGTACCGATCAGCTGAATTTCCTGAATATAGATATTGTTACATTATTACCAAATACTTTGAAAAAAGACTAGCGTTTGTTGCCTTAGATTGACCCTTCAAATTTAATCTGCCTTAGGTGATTTTTGTTTAGTTGGATTTTTTTACTTGAATCTGGCTTGTTTGCCATGTTTAAAGGACAGATGAATACGGCCTTACCTCACAGCATGCCGTGTTTATCATATAGCTAACTGATGTGTGGTTACTGTGCTGGCTGTTGGAAAGCCCCTGAGAAGTGCAATGAAATGTTCTGAGCAGTCTTCAATTAGCAAACAGGACACACGCTGTGGGGGTGACTATTGTGGCTCTCACAGCATAAGGACTGGATGAAGTGTATACGTAGGGGAGCTGTCACTTTGCTGCGACAAGCAAAGTTTTATTTTAGCATTTCCTGATGTACGCACTTGCTGTTTCAGCCTTCGTGTTCCTTTAGCAGGGCTGGCTTTGTGCAGTGTAATGGCACTATTACCTTTTGGTACATGTTCTTTCTAAATTGCGTCACCTTCCGCTGCGACCTCAGTAATGAAATGAGTGCTCACAGCGCATGGTTCCTCTTTATGGAAACCCTTCAGCGAATGCATGCCGGAGGTATCAGCACTTCTGAGCTGTTGCTGCAATCTTTTAAGATGATGCTGTTGTCTACTGTAATGGACAACGTGCAAAAATCTGTTTACGCAGAAACCTCTGTGCAATCCACACGTGAGCAGCTGGGGATCGTTGTGCCCAGCCTGTTGACATGGTTGGAGATTAGTTTGTTGGTTCTTGTGCTTGCATGTGTAGGCTCTAAAGCAAGAACTGAATATACATAAACCAGTTGTGTTGAGAGGGGTAAGAAAATATGACAAGCATACGTGGAGATATTTGCTCTGCTTCTATCTGTTATATAGGTGCTGTCTTTTTATTTTGGTGGTTTCATGATTGCGTCTTAAACTGTTGATTAAACCAGTTACTTCAAAATCGCGGCCATGATGGACGCTACAGAAACTGCAACACAAAGTAGTTTTAATGGTTTTACCAAATGGCAAGACATAATATCATCCAAACTAAATATTCTGTTTTTTCCTCTCTGAAATGCTTTAGAGGTTCAGCTATGCATTTAAACGATTTGGCCCAAATGTTCTTGGGAACACTGAATTCTCAGAAGCATTATGGCAGATGAAACCATAAGAGTTAACAAGTTAACAAGAAAAGTAACAAACCTTGATAGAGGAAGTTAAACAGGAAAGAGCTGGTTTCTGCTTTTGTCTGAGCTGTTAGGGAGAAGCTTAGAGTCCTTTCCAAACAAAATTTGCTTTTCCCCAAACCTGGCTTCAGAAAAGCATCACTTTCCAGAGTTAGCTGTAAAATAAAGTGTTTTAGAGAATACTCCTAATGGCAGTGACTCCTTAAAAATGTAAAAAGGCATGTTAGAAAAGAAAAGAAAAGAAAAGAAAAGAAAAGAAAAGAAAGATGCATGAAATGTTAACTGTAGAATAGGGATTACTGATACACATTTGTGTGAATTTTCCCGTATCTAGTGGACACTTAGTGTTCCTTGGGGATTAATCAGTGAATCTCTCTTCAAATCAGCAACGTGCATGGAGGCACATATATGTAAAGTATAAAACATGCCCTTCCTGTCAATTAGGAAGGAAAGTACTCTATTTTTTTTGGTTTTGGTCAAGCGCTTCAGAGAAATGATGACAGAAAATTTGCCTAGACTGACTAATTTCTCTTCAGCCTGACTTGGCGGTTGTAGGCAGTTTTACAGCACCAGCAGCATTTCGGTGCATCCGATGAGGTCCAAGTGTCCGAAGGCACTCGGAGACAGTGCGTGTTTGTCGGCTGTGGAGCAGGGTAAGCTCAGGAAACCTTTTTGTATGGGAGATCTGCAGCGCTACCGTGTTTACCGCGGTATTTATAGCAACCCTGTGGTATGCTAAAATTCCCTTTTTGCCTATCGCGAGCGTCGCAGCGGGCTTGTTCTCCAGACCTCTCCGCCTGTAGCGTTTGCAGCCCTGCGTTTGCAAGCCCGTCCTTCCTCTGCTGCCTGCTTCTCGCAGCACCCCGGGTCGGGGCAGCGTAGGACGAGAGCAGCGGAGCGACGTCTTCAAGGAAGTCGGCTGCCCGCAGCCCGTCCTCCTTTTGCTCAACATCTCGCGGTGCCAGCGGGGCCCCCGCTCGCCGTGGGCGATGGGTTAGTGCCCGGGAGAGCTGCGCTCCCGCCGCCGGGGCCAGGATGTCCATAAAATGGAGTAGATTTGGCGAAGTGCCCCAAATCACAGTGAGGCTAGTGGGACTCAAGGAATGGGAGGTAAGAGCTTCTTGATCGTGTCCGAGCGGGAGCCGAGGCTGCCGTGCACGCGCGGCTGTTTCAGGCCCTGAGACTGAGGGGTTTTATCCCATGCTGGCTGTTCTTACACCTTCTTGGGAGTTTTTTAATATCCAACTCAGATGCCTGCTTAGGTGGCTCTTTAAGTCATGTTGGCAGTTCAGATACCAGAAGAAACTCTTTTTTTCTTCATTTTTTCCTCTTTTTAAGAGCTAGAAACTATCATAGCGGAAAATATCTCCTTTTGAGCATTGCATTTCAGTGTTACTGTCTCTGAGGTCGGCATCCTACGCTGAGGCTTGCTGTTTGCCTCTCAAAGGTGCTGCACCATTTCCTGTTTCTCACTGGAGCAGTTTGGCTTTAATGGCAGTGTTTTTCACAGTGATTTTCTGAAGGGTGATTAATATTGCAGCCTTTAGAATTACTGGACTTTACATTAAACATCAGATACATTTAAAGAATGATATAGTAAAAATCCTGCCAGTATTTTCGAGAGCCACAAGATCTGCCTGGAGTATAGGGTGACTTTCTCTCATGGACGTCTGATCTTTTCCAGTTCAGGCAATGGAGCAAACTCCAGTGTCAGTTTGGTGCCACCTGCCAAGAACAAAACTTCAGAGGTTTAATTTGTGAGCCCTTTCAGACAGGACCTGGTTAAACTTGGGCAGGTTGGTGGTTGCACAGAGCTTTGTGTGAGATGGTCACGGGATCCTGGGCAACGCTGATGGCTCGAGGAGTCGTCAGTGTGCCACAGAGCACACAAGCTTTCTGCTTCAGCCAAGATTATTCCATCCTGCAGTTATGTTTTCACCTGTAGGACAAAATAGTGGTGGGGGACAGTAAGTAAAGCAGCATTTTTGTGTATTAAGGCTTTGCAGGAAAAGACTGATCCTGTTTTTTTTTCCTGGGATTTTGTGGGTGAAGGGCAACCTTATGATGAGTTACTAATTACTTGTCATCAGAGGCTCAAACATGTCCCTCTTGGGGTCTGCAGAACTCATTACTGCCTGTAACTGCCTCATGGTCATTGCTGCTACGGGCTGCTCTGCCCCTCTCTGATACTTGGGTTTCTACTGCAACAACAGTTAGCAATGGGCCCATGGTGTATAATTAACAGAATGCAGAAATAAGCTCACAGAACTTTTTGCTCATTTCTGGTTAAGCTTCTGTTCCAGACACCACAAAATCCTCAGTTAGTTAAAATTAGTTAAAATACAAATTTGCAGGTCATTCGTGTGATGAGTGTCTTGGTAGGGAGGGACATGTAAGGACAAGGAGTCAGTGATATTCATATCTGAATTCCTTCTGTGGAGCTTTCTGTAGAAATCATAGGATAGACTTTCTGTTTGAGCAGATGCCAAATCCAGGGAATACTGCAGGAGATGTTTTCAGATCTTAACATTTAGCAATTTTCTATATCAAGTAGAGACAGAAAATGTGGAGTGCACAGGACTCATTTTGAGGTTTCTATACAAGCTTCAGGCGATGCCCCGTTAGGGAACAACATAATCCTGCTTAAGCCACTCTCTTTGGGAAAGGCAGAGTGCTAAAAACGAGAGAAGGCAGCTGCCCTTGTTTGTCTTTCCCAAGACTGCTGAGGTGCCCGGGGTTGAAGTGCGGCTTCCGGAAGCCGAGATAATCTCGTATGGTGTTGCTGCTGTTCCTCTGCCTTTCTGTGATGCCACATTTCATGAGTTTGTGAAAGATCATTTCCCCCAAGAGCCTGTTGGCTTCATGTAGTAGTTTGAGGTCGCATGACATGGTAGCTGTTGAAAAATGCAGTCCCCACTGGTCACAGAGAAAAGTGAGGGGGTGATATTATGGCATCAGTGTCTTACTGCTGTCATAGAAAGTCTCTTTCTCCATTAAAAATTCAGTCTCTAAACACAAGTCTTATATGTTGACCTTGAACATGAATTCTGTGTTGAAGGTTTGTTGTCCGTTGTTTGAAGTTAGCAAAGTCATTGCAATAGGTGAGTCATTAACCCAAGCAAATACATGCAGACAAGGGTGAAAGAAAAAAAGTTGCCTTCAGAACAGACCGCGCTCCGTCTCTGCTTTCAAGATGTCTGTGCAGAGGGCTCTGGGAATCAATACTGTGTTAATTCAGTACCAACAGCACCAGAAACTTATTTCTTTAACGGAGAGCCGTGTGGAAGCAGGAAAAGGAGAAAGAGAAGGAGAAGACTAAGGAGAAAGAAAGGGAGTCCAAGGAGAAGGAAAAAGACAAGAAGCTGCTGAACGGACATCTCTTCACTGCAACCTCTGTTGTAGCCCAAGCAACCTGTTACCACTGTATGAAACCTTTCAATAAGGATTCGTACTACTGTGCAAGTAAGTCTTTTTTTCCTATTTTCCCCTTGATGTTTCATTAAATCTAGCAGGGGAAATGTGAACCATATGCTGTATTTTTGTTATTCTTGAAAAACTGTGATATGAGGAGAGGGGGAAACTTTTGAGATAATGTGGCACTCATTACTGTCCCACAGCCTCCTCGCCAGCCCGGTTCGGTCTCCTCCACGTTACTGTGTCCTGCAGTGTTGTCTTCCCCACTGTGTCGAGCTGTGCCAGTTGTCTGGAGAACTTCAGCAGCCATTATGGCTTGGGGCCAAGACGCTTTCTTAGGCCTGATAAGGGACAGAGAAAACCGGTGGGGATTGTGGCTTTTATATCCGCTAAGGAAGAGAAGATCCTGTCCATGTATGATGTATTGCTTCACATACATTAGTTCTCTGAAATGCTGCTTCCATGAGCACTTGGTGAGAGCAGATGATATAAAAAGAAAATATCCACTGTATTTTTTTCCCCTTTGTTTATGAAGTTGGGTTGGGATTAAATGATAACTGCCTGTCCACTGATGAATACCCGCAATACAGTGTAGGCAGCCACTAGCCTCACCAGAGGGTTCCTGCTGGACTTGATGATTTTGTTCTGGTTTCTTAGCAGACAGTTACTCGCTTATCAGTAACTCCATCAGGTCAGCAGACTTTGTGTGGTCAAGACCAGAACGGGGGCTGTTTCACATAGCAAGCCAAAACTGTGCAAGATAAAGAGGCATAAGATCTTTTTTACCCACTGCAGCTCAGGATGCTGCATTCCTCGTTATTATTATTACTATAATATTTATTTCCTCTCGCCTGGAGGCTACAGGAACAGTGTGCAGGGATCTCTCCAGACTGAAGCAGAGGGCTTGGTCTCTGCTAATTCTGATCGATGACCAGTGTATGAAACATCTCACATGAGGGGAGGAAGGAGCAGGTAGCTGAATCCCCAGAGGCAGCTTTGAGTTTCCTGAAAGAGAAATTTCAGCAAAGTTGTTTGCATGAGGCATGCTCTGTGTTCACCTGATGGGAAATGGAAAACATTAAAACCATAATCTCTCAAATGCAACATCCTTGCCCTTCTCCCACTCTAATTAAAAAAAAAAAAAACTCAAACCATGTAGAAAAATGAAATTTATCCTGATTCCATCTTTATCTTCTGATGAGTTTAAAATATTCCCACAATGGCCTGAGGCAGCACATGTTTTAATATAGATCTTCTTTCCTTAATTTTCAAGATGCAGCAGAAAATTATTTTAGGTTTGCTCCGTTAACCAGAAAATGAGCATCCCAAAGAAAGTTTGGTCAGGGCCCAGACTGTTGCTAAACTTGTATCTGTGAGTGGTCTCTTCTAACACAGCATCTTAAAATAATCTATTAAGTGCCTTGAACATGACTGATAACCAGCAACAGATGCTCTGTTGTTCTCGGGGGGTTGTGCTGTAGTTTGCACGCAGGTTTTCTGCTCTTTTGCACAGGAAATTGTGGGACATCTATAAAGCAGCAACGCCCTATGTCCTTGCCTTTCTGTCTCTCAAAATACCAGAACAATTACAAGCTTTTATAAAGCAGACTTTTATTAATTAAACGATTTTTAGTGAAGTGACAATACTTCGTTGATTTGGGCTTGGGATGTTTTCCTTTCATTGTAAATTTACAATATAGTAATTCATGAATTGTTTTAACACATGTTTTCAGGAGTGAGCAGACTGCCAGATTTTCTTGAAGATCCTGGATTTCATTATGGGAGGGGGGCAGTTTTAATCTTCTTTGAAAACTTCAATTCACAGAAATCTGTTGGGATAGATGATTGGCTAGCGCAGGGTATAAGGAAAAAGGAATTAAGTTTTTTGGTTTTTTTTCTAGCATTTTTGCAGCAAAAGCTGGGATTAAAGCACAATGCTATTTGCATTGATATGTGTGGTGTTTTCTAGCCAAAATCAGTGGCTTGAGTCTAGTTTCCAGCAGACAAGTGCCTGTCTCACAAAAACAGTTACCTGGCAGATGCTCCTGTTACTTTTCCTGATAATCTTGTAGTACAGTAACAGATGGAAAAAAGATCCTGTCTATGATGTGTCTACATTCATGTAAATTAATTTTCCTGTCCTTTTCATGCCTTCTGGATCCTATAATACTTGTCTTGATAAGAAAGATATTAGTGTTTTCAGAGAAAGAACAATGGGACTCTAATTGGCTTCTATTTCTGTCTCCTTTCCTCCTTGCTTTTCTTTCAGAAGAATAAAAACACCTTTGTTGTGTTTTGTTTTCATTTAAAACCCTGTTAGCTCTGCCTTGCCTTGATTTTTAAACAGAATTTCCTGTTGAAAACCATGTGGAAACATTAATAAACCAGGGGCTAATTAAGCTGGAAAGCAGCCTGGTTGTCAGCATCTGCAGCTACTCATATGAACTGCACTGATGCCTGAAAGCTGCAGTTCTCAGTTACACAAGATAGCAGTTCAAAATACAAATGGCAAACACTGATCTTTTTTGTGTCTTGTTTTGTTTTCTTACTTTTTGCAGACTGCAATGCAATTGTTCACAAAGGCTGTAAGGAGAGTTTTGCCTCCTGTGCGAAGGTCAAAATGAAGGTAAGAGATTTCATTGACTCTACTGAGGGAGAACTGTGTAAACATGGAGTATGAAGATACATAATGTCTTCTACTGTGTCGTGCAAAGCTTTCCAGCTCATCTGGAAGAGCCAGACCCTGTGCTATAGAGACTTATTTCTCTAAATTCCCAAAATTTGTAGTGCTTAGGCAGGTATTTAGGAGAAGAGGGTGTTAGTGCATCAGCCGTGGTAAAATCACGGGAGGAGCATATGAGAAAAGAAAGCGCTGGCAAAATGCAGGGTTGTCGAGCACCCGTGAGTGCAATATCTCTTAATTTTTCAATGCTACATTTTGCGATGCAGCATTATGACTATATAATGGATCATGACATTTATTAAGTAATAATGTTGTTTATGTGAGGTTTATGATTACGTGTGGTTTGAACAGAATTCACGCTTGCCTAAATGCGAGGAATCTCTTTTGTGGTATGGTTCTCCAAGCTAGCCCAAGTATGAATCAGTAATCAATGCAATTATGAGGAAAATTAGAAAATCTCTTCTATTACTTTTAGTTGTCCTCCTCAGTAATATCAGTCCTTTTTTCTTCAATTTTACTATTTACTGCACATTTGTCCATCTGTGATTTTGCCTCTTTCACTGATGGCAACTACTGCAGCTGACGCGAGTTAATGCCGTCCCTATATACCCAAGGACCAATCTGTTCTGAGAGGATTCAGGAAAACCCTGCTTTTTAAATTTAGTTACGTGGCACAGCCTGATGGGAAAAGGGAGCAGAAATTACAATAAATTTCCATTTCTTTTAGCCACAGAAAGGGATGCTGCAGGCACATGATACCTCTTCATTACCCACGGTAACCATGAGAAACAAAAGTAAGTAAATTTCTCTCTCCTCTGTTTTGGTGTTGATCTCTGGCTGCTGTTCTTAACTGTTATGACGAACAAATATTCCATATTATCAAAGCTAAATCTTTAATAATACAGGCCTGAGAGCATCTCTTGGGCAGGATAAGCAGTGTTTAGGATTTCAGAAGCTGTGCTGCACTTGTGCAGATGGTTTCACGACTTCTGCACTAAGTGACTTGAAACAAATGTAAAACCATGTCAAGTTTAGAATAGCTGCTTGACTGCTCTGACTTCCTCAAGAGATGCAGCTGATGAGCCCACAAAATCTGGAAGACTTATGTTCATTTGTGCCTGACACCAAAAAGAATTCGGCTGTGTGTTATGTTAACATAAAAAGCTAAGGTTGCAAGTTGAAGGGGTCTTTGTTTAAAATATTTTTTTATTATTCTTATATTTTGATGTAGTAAAAATTAGAAAAGTTGATTTTGAACTGGAGCAATACTAACAAATTCTGCATGTTGATGATATACGTTTTGCTGTAGAGCTACCCAGGGTGACTGGGGGATAAAAAATGAAGATGAAATAGCCCCTATAGATTCTGTAGTGCCATGGTTTGACAAGCTTATTTCTGCCTGCTTGGGGATCACTATAGGTACTGCACTGTGTGGTGGGGGTGTACCCTGTGTGGGTTTTGTCAGAAATTCAGAAGTTCTACTCTACAAACCAGAAGGCAGTCTGAAGAAGGGAAAATTGGAATTGAGATGGAAGGATTTGGTGAAAATTGCTGTTTACCTTTGAATAATAGGATATGGATTGGTGTTTCTCTGTGGTTAGCACTATTAGTAAAACCTAGCTCAAAAGCTTCGACCAGAAGCATGAAGATGTATATAACTATAGGAAGTCCTTGCCCAGAGAAATTTAGAAGTAAAATAGTAGGTTACTGCAGGTGATGATTCATTGATTAAAATTAAATTCACTTGCCTGAGTGTGCATTTCTGGACTTGCACGTTCCACCCGCATCTTACATTTAAGTGCAGTGCCCCACCAAGGGGTTGATTTTCTTTCCCTCTTTAAAAAGAGCAGCACATAGTTTGGTAAGAAGGATTCCATCCCAGCCTCTGCACAGGAACCCTGCTGAGCTGGGATGTTATCACAGAAAAGATAACGGTTAATAAGCCCTTGTCTTTGGTTTTCTTACTATGCAGCAGAATTGAATTAGACTTAAGCATATTGGGTCTTAAGAGGATAAAATTTCTCAGATGGTTCAGATCAATCATACTACATGAATACTGTGCAGGAGACCTAGAATTTGTTAAAAGGTATTTTGAGGAACTAATATTTGCATTTTCTATTTGAGCAAAATTGCAAAGCGAATGGAGCTTCTCTTTGCTTTGAATAGAAAGTTCACGACCAAATCCTATGTTATGTTCATGTAGACCACAGTAACGGTTTGGGTGAGTCAGATACTTCAGACTTCACTGCAGTCGTGACTGTTTCTAGTCACTGAGGGTCTGCTCTAGAGAGAAAAGGATATGGATTTTAGGGCCTGGCTTCTTTAAGTTACTGTTGTTGCAGTTAACAAGACAGTTGCCTCTTTCCTTCTAGGCTCGCAGCCCAAGGAGCGCCCGCGCTCTGCAATACTTGCTCCTGATGAAAACACCGTAACCTCCATATTCAATAACAGGAGGTCACAACAGCCTACAGCACTTTCAAAGAGTGTCTCCATACAGAACATTGCAGGGTAAGGATTCTCCCTCTGCATCATCTGATGATGATAAATAAATAAATGAGATCTCATGAGAAACGGGTTTGTATAATATGATCTGTATTAAAAGTAGGGAAAAGGATCAGAAAATCAGAAATTGCCCTTATTATTATAATCTGTATTATGATCCCATCAGCAGTTATGCACAATCAAGCTGGTTAGTTTACCCATGGTGTGACTTCAAGGCCATCAGCTGGCCTTGCTACGTGCACAGCAGCTTCGCAGTGATGCTCTGAGCTCCAGGAAGAAAT